GGTAACACCTACGCAGCTGCTGGAGCTGGAATCTTCATGGCTAGGGGGTACTCATCTAAGTTCTTGGTTATGTGCCCTCAGTTACCAGGATGTGAACTATCGTCTGTTTAGCTTCACTTTAGTGAGCTTACAAGTTTTTACTTCCAGTTACTACACTTACTTGAATCAGAAGGTGGTTTCCTCATTCCTACTGCTTAAAACACCTTGACAAGTCCTAGGGGTTAAGAGAGGTTAGTGCGGCTATGGTCTATCCATCTGTGCTCTAGTTAGAGCGTGCAGACACCTGCCTTTCCACTTGTCTCTCTCCACGACCAGCCACAGGAACCACTGATGCTGAATCTTGGACTGACAGGGGCCTCAGACTCTGGCTGCCAGCACACAACCTGCCATCAACGTTAAAACAGGCCCACATATAAAGAGGAGTTTCCTCCCTGGAATGCTCTGAAATTCACTTTTCTACCCGGGGATTCTGTTCTAAACCTTCTGCCGACATTGGCTTTCACTGTGGAAGCTGATTTCTAAAACTTCAATTAGCTCACAATGCTGACATGTACATGCAGTTTTTGTGAGTGTCTTCTGCCTAAGGTGGAAGAGATTTTTTATTGAAAAATACAACGATCTGCTGCTATCGACGTCCACCACAAAAGTGTTAACCTCAGAAGACTAAGAAGCATCAAATAGCAGGGCGTGGTGGCTCACGCCTGTAATCCCAACACTTTGGGAGGCTGAGGTGGGTGGATCACAAGGTCAAGAGATCAAGACCATCCTGGCCAACATGGTGAAACCCCATCTCTACTAAAAATACAAAAACCGGCCGGGCGCGGTGGCTTAAGCCTGTAATCCCAGCACTTTGGGAGGCCGAGGCGGGTGGATCACAAGGTCAAAAGATCGAGACCAACCTGGTCAACATGGTGAAACCCCGTCTCTACTAAAAATACAAAAAAAAATTAGCTGGACATGGTGGCGCGTGCCTGTAATCCCAGCTACTCAGGAGGCTGAGGCAGGAGAATTGCCTGAACCCAGGAGGCGGAGGTTGCAGTGAGCCGAGATCGCGCCATTGCACTCCAGCCTGGGTAACAAGAGCGAAACTCCGTCTCAAAAAAAAAAAAAAATACAAAAACCAGCTGAGCGTGGTGGCACGTATCTATAATCCCAGATACTCGGGAGGCTGAGGTGGACAAATTGCTTGAACCCAGGAGGCAGAGGCTGTAGTGAGCCAAGACTGTGCCATTACACTCCAGCTTGGCGAAAAAGCAAAACTGTCTCAAAAAAAAAAAACAGCAGCATCGAATAAGCATCGAAATGTTGCCATACCTCCCTGCAAAAAGCTTATGAACATTGCCCAAATCAAAGGTGGCTCACTGAATTCTAATTTTCTTAAAGACCCATGTTTTCAGTATCAATGAGCTTTCTACCAATCTCCCCAGTGGCTGCATCTCTGACTTTGCACCTTGCAGTAGTACCTGGTTGGGATTCCTTTTTTTTTTTTTTTTTTTTTTTGAGACAGTCTCACTGTCTCCCAGGCTTGAGAGCACTGGTGCAGTCTCAGCTCACTCCAACCTCCCAGGTTCAAGTCTTTCTCCTGCCTCAGCCTCCTGAGTAGGAGGGATTACAGGTGTGTGCCACCACAACCCAGTTAATTTCACCATGCTAGTCAGGTGCTTGTCTTGAGCTCCTGACCTCGTGATCTAACCCACCTCAACATCTGAAAGTGCTGAGATTACAGGCGTGAGCCACCGCACCCAAATAAGCCCATCTTTTTATATTTTTAGTAGAAACAGCGTTTCACCTGTTGACCAGTCTAGTCTCGCTTGACCTCAGGTGATCTTCCCGCCTCAGCATCCCAAAGTGCTGAGATTATTGGTATGAGCCACTGCGCCCAGCCAGGATTCCTTTTCAAAGTCTGGTTGGACTAGAAGCCAGTTTGCTTCTGCTTGGCCTCATGGGGCCTCAGAGAAAGCCACAGGGGAGGACGGATCTTTCCTGGGTTCATTTAATTAACTGCCGCTGGTAACACTTATTCTCTCTACCGCTTACTGAACTTCCTATTACTTCTATGATTTTTTTTTTTTGAGCCAGAGTTTCACTGTCGCCCAGGTTGGAGTGCAGTGATGCAATCTTGGCTCACTGCACCCTCTGCATCCCAGTTTCAAACAATTCTCCTGCTTCAGCCTCCTGAGTAGCTGGGATTACAGGCATGCACCACCATGCCTGGCTAATTTTATATTTTTAGTAAACACAGGGTTTCACCATGTTGGCCAGGCTGGTCTTGAACTCTTGACCTCGTGATCCATTCACCTCAGTCTCCCAAAGTGCTGGGATTACAGGCATGAGCCACCGCGCCCAGCCAAGGACTCTGTTTAGCAAGAGTATCTACTTAACAAAATTCAGCATAAAAATGAAGTGAAACAATTTATCTAAATCTAGAGTTTAACCGGGTACTGTGGCTCACAACTGTGACTCCAGCACTTTGGGAGGCTGAGGCAGGAGGACTGCCTGAGACCAGGAATTCAAGACCAGCCTGGGCAACAGTTAGACCCCGTCTCCATCTTAAAAAATAATAAAAGGGCTGGGCGTGGTGGCACACACCTGTAATCCCAGCACTTTGGGAGGCCGAGGCAGGTGGATCACAAGGTCAAGAGATCGAGACCATCCTGACCAACACAGTGAAACCCCGTCTCTACTAAAAATACAAAAAAAAAAAAAAAAAAAAAAAAAAAAAAAAAAAAAGCCGGCCATGGTGGCACGAGCCTGTGGTCCCAGCTACTCAGGAGCCTGAGGCAGAAGAATTGCTTGCACCCAGGAGGCGGAGGTTGCAGTGAGCCGAGATTGTACCACTGCACTACAGCCTGGTGACAGAGCAAGACTCCATCTCAAAAATAATAATAAAAGAGGCTGAGTGCGTTGGCTCACACCTGTAATCCCAGCACTTTGGGAGTCCCAGGCAGGCAGATCACAAGGTCAGGAGTTTCAGACCAAACTGGCCAACATGGTGAAGCCCCATCTCTACTAAAAATACAAAAACAATTAGCCGGGTGTGGTGGCACGCCCCTGTAGCCCCAGCTACTTGGGAGGCTGAGGCAAAGGAACCACTTGAACCTGGAAGGCCAAGGCTGCAGTGAGCCAGCTTGGGCAACAGAGACTCTGTCTCAAAAATAAACAGTCTGGGCACGGTGGCTCACTCCTGTAATCCCTGCACTTTGGGAGGCTGAGGCGGGTGGATCACAAGGTCAAAAGATCAAGACCGACCAGGCACGGTGGCTCAAGCCTGTAATCCCAGCACTTTGGGAGGCTAAGATGGGTGGATCACAAGGTCAAGAGATGGAGACCATCCTGGTCAACATGGTGAAACCTCGTCTCTACTAAAAATACAAAAAATTAGCTGGGCATGGTGGTGCGTACCTGTAATCCCAGCTACTCAGGAGGCTGAGGCAGGAGAATTGCCTGAACCCAGGAGGCGGAGGTTGCGGTGAGCCGAGATCGTGCCATTGCACTCCAGCCTGGGTAACAAGAGCGAAACTCTTGTCTCCAAAAAAAAATAAAATAAATAAAATTAAAAAAAAAAAAAAAAGAGATCAAGACCATCCTGGCCAACATGGTGAAACCCTGTATCTACTAAAAATACAAAAATTATGCCAGGTACAGTGGCTCACGCCTGAAATCCCAACACTTTGAGAAGCCGAGGCGGGTGGATCACAAGGTCAGGAGTTCAAGACTAGCCTGACCAAGATAGTGAAACCCCGCCTCTATTAAAAAATACAAAAAACAGTGGAGCATGGTGGCAGGCGCCTGTAATCCCAGCTACTGGGGAAGCTGAGGCAGAACTGCTTGAACCTGGGCAGCAGAAGTTGCAGTGAGTCGGGATTGTGCTACTGCACTCCAGCCCAGGCAACAAGAGTGAGACTCCCTCTCCAAACAAAAACAAAAACAAAAACAAAACCCCACAAAAATTAGCTGGGCGTGGTGGCGTGCACCTGTAGTCCCAGATGCTTAGGAGGCTGAGGCAAGAGAATCACTTGAACCCAGGAGGCAAAAGTTGCAGTGAGCCAAGATCACACCACTGCACTTCAGCCTGGGTGACAAGAGCGAGACTCCGTCTCAAAAAAAAAAAAAAAAAGGAAAATTAAAAAAAAAAAAAAGAATAAAACTGGAATTCCTTAATCTCTTGACAAAGCTGATGCTTTTTTTGTTTTTTTTGAGACGGAGTCTCGCTGTGTTGCCCAGGCTGGAGTGCTGTGGTGAAATCTCAGCTCACTGCAACTTCCACCATCTGGGTTCAAGCGATTCTCCTGCCTCAAGCCTCCCAAGTAGTTGGGATTACAGGGGTGTGCCACCATGCCCAGCTAATTTTTTTTGTCTTTTTTTTTTTTAAGACGGGGTTTCACCATGTTGGTCAGGCTGGTCTTGAACTCTCGACCTCAGGTGATCTGCCCACCTTGGCCTCCAAAGTGCTTAGATTACAGGTGTGAGCCACCACGCCTGGCCTTGTATTTTCAGTACAGACCAGGTTTCACCATGTTGGCTAGGCTGGTCTGGAACTCCTGACTTTGTGATCCACCCACCTTGGCTTCCCAAAGTGTTGGAATGAGAGGTGTGAACCATCGTGCTGGCAACATTTTCTTAAACCTACATTGGTTGATGTGATGTTAATTCACTTTTCCAAAATAAGTCTATGACCAGGAAGTACTAGTTCTGTTTTGTCTGTCCCAATTGTTAACAGGAAAGGGCTCACTCCACTTCTCAGTTGTTACCCCTGCCCCCAGCCCTGATCCATGGCATCTACCCCAAGAATAAGCCAAGAACCAGCTGCTCTAGAGATCTCAGCAGCAAAATCCTGCCCAAGACTGTTAAAATGTGTGGGGACTTATTTACACTCGTGCTGTCATTAAACACTTCCTTGAGCAGGGATTATCCTGCTGTTTTATTTCTATAAGCAAACTGGCGTCCAAGGTCAACCAAAGCAACAAGCCCTCTGTAAAAATAAGAACCCAGCACAAATGGCCAGTCACGCTTACCTGCACTTTTAAAGACAGCTTTCAGGTATTTGGAGACTACATTATTACCAAACCTTGGCTTTGAGAGATTATACAGGTCCAAGGAACTCATGTCTACTGCAGACGAATGCAGTACCCCACCTATCTCCAAACAGAATTGTCAGGAAACATCCACTCCTTTGGGGGTGATTTTTCTCCTCAAGTTGTAGGCAACACTTCGTCCATAGCTCATTTCAGGGTAAACATTTCTGACATCTTCCTCCAGCTCAGTCTGGCATGCCTTGGCGGTCCACTTTCCTGTCATGGCCAAGCCATCCAAGTTGATGCCAAGTAAGATGTGCCCAGCTCAAAGTGGCAGTGTTTGCATCTTGGTCTAAGGAATCCTCAGCCCTAGTAAAAAGCTTTAGTCATTCACTTCCATCCAACAGATGTTTGTGAATGTCCTGCTGTCCATTCTGTCAATGAACAGGCAGCCCTGCAGGTGGTCCATCTCGTGCTGGATGATGCGGGCTGCCCAACCGCTTGCCTGCCACACCACCTGTTCTCCATTGGCGTTCAGCCCTGCAAAGGAAGTTACAGCCCTCGTGAGTGGGAACAGGTGAACAGTATCATCCTCAACCTCCTTACCCGTGCCCCGAGCCCTGGCTGTTCCCATGGAGAAGAGGCAACAGCAGAAAGCAAATATAGACAACAGATCCTCTCCTAACTGGAAAAGATCCCTCAACTCGGCCCATTACCAAGTGTTCAACCTGGTTCCCAATTATGGTAATTAGGTTATCAAATTCACTGTAGAGTTGAGATGAGAAATCATCTTCCTATGGTGCAACCCTTCTGACCCACCCCCCGGCTTCTGAGGTATCTGTGGGCTCTCAACTCCTAATAGAGGTTCTGCAGCTTGAGACCCAGTTTTTGACTCTCCTGAACCAGAAACAATCACCCCGACCCCAGCAGAGCCCACATTCCGCGAGACATCCAGTGGTACCACGGAGAGAATGGCTTACCCCACTGGGCTGGGTCAAGCTGGGGTGCTAAACCCCACTTCTCCAACTCCACCATGGCGGATCTAACTGGGGCTGAAGAGTATTTGTGTCACAGAGTAAGGGAACAGAAAGCAGAGGCCCGGGGTCAACTAACGGGAATTCGGGGGTCCCCTCCTCGCCCCCGCATCCTATCTGAGCCGCATCTGTCCCACAGGAGCTTCTATCCGTCCTGAAGCCCGTCCGCTCCCGCGTCCCAATTCTTTCCTGCGGGAGGCCCAGCAAATAAACCGCAACCACTTCTGCGCTCTCGCCGGGGCCTGGCGAAGAGACGCCGGCGCTGCTCCTGTCGCCCCGGCCCCTACCTCCCCCACCTGAGATTTCCACCGCCTGGAAGCGGGGCACGCAGGCCAGGAAACCGGCGACGCTCTCGCAGCCCTCGGGGAAGGTGACCAGGCGGCTGTCCAGCACCCGCAGGCTGGGGTTCACGAACACGCGCAGGGGGAAGGGCTCCATCTGGCGAAGCGCGCGCTGGCGCGGCGGGGTCTTCTGACACAGCGCCTGGGTGAGCTCCAGCGCCAGCACCTGCTGCGGCACCCCCAGCTGAGGGGCGCTCAGGCCCACGCAGTGTTGCCGCCGCATCACCTGCACCAGCCGCTGCGCCAGCCGCTGCAGCTCGGGCCCTCCCAGCTGCTCCCGCTCCACCGGGGCCGCCACGCCGCGCAGCACCGGGTCCCCAACCTGGCACACGTGCAAGAACGGCGGTTCAGGCGGCCCCCTCACCAGGCGCCTCAGGTAGCGCCAATAGGAGCGCCGGAGCGCCGCGCCCCCGACGCCGTCAGGGGCGGCCGTGGAGCCGCAAGTTCGGGAACCACCGGCTGCTGCCCTTCCCCAGGCAACGGGGACCCACATCCGCCGAAGCAGCAGCGAGCCCCACAGGCGGGACATGGCGACGCCAGCAGCAGGAACCCAGGCCGCCCCTTCCGGCTGCAGCGCTGGGCACGCCGGGAAGCGCCGTCAGAGCGCGCACAGCAAGGGCTCATGGCAGGATCCCGTCTTCACGCCCAGACCCAGCCTGAGCACCGCCCCTTCCGCTCTCCTTCCGGAGCGCCTTCCTGCCTCCCGAGCCCGCCCTGGGCTTTCCTGGGCGAGGCAGCCCTGGCTGTCCCGCAGCAGGCACCGTACGCACCGCGTTCTGGAGGCAGGGAACGCTGGCTAGGGCTCCACACTGAGCAGTTCCGCCTCCGCTTCCGCTCGCCCTCCCTCCGGACAGGCTGGGCCCGCGGGCTCCAGGCGTGGCTCCTCGGCGGGAGGCTCTGGTGTTGGAGCTGTGAGCTCGGGCCCCAGCGCCTGGTCATCCAGGGCGAAGAGCGTCTCTCTCTTTGGCAGGATAAAGGCGAGGGGCTCCTGAATGGCGCCGATGTTCACACGCCCGATGTTTCCGTACTTGGAGAGCTGAGTGGGAGGAATGCCTGACCCGGACGGGGAAAGCAAAACGGAAAAAAGTTATTGATAAAATTCAACATAGAAATTAAAAGAAAAAGGAAAAGAACCACACAAGAAGAAACAGAAGCAATTACTATATTTCTTTTTTTTTTTGAGTGTCTCACTGTCGGCACCCAGGCTGGAGTGAAGTGGTGAGATCTCAGCCCACTGACTTAATACAAATGGGTGAATTATTTAGTATGTCAACCTCTGCCTCCCGGGTTCAAGCGATTCTCCTGCTTCCGTGGTAGCTGGGATTACAGGCACCTGCCACCAGCCCAGCTAATGTTTTTTTGTTTTTTTGTTTTTTGAGACGGAGTTTCGCTCTTGTTACCCAGGCTGGAGTGCAATGGCGCAAACTCGGCTCACCGCAACCTCCGCCTCCTGGGTTCAGGCAATTCTCCTGCCTCAGCCTCCTGAGTAGCTGGGATTACAGGCACGCACCACCATGCCCAGCTATTTTTTTTTTGTATTTTTAGTAGAGACGGGGTTTCACCATGTTGACCAGGATGGTCTCGATCTCTTGACCTTGTGATCCACCCGCCTCGGCCTCCCAAAGTGCTGGGATTACAGGCTTGAGCCACCGCGCCCGGCCTGTTTGTATTTTTAATGGAGACGGTGTTTCACTGTTATCCAGGCTGGTCTCAAACTCCAATCCTCAGGTGATCCACTCGCCTCAGCTTCCCAAAGTGCTGGGATTACGGGCGTTTGCCACTGCGGCCAGCTATAGTTCAATACATCAAAAACCACCTTTGTCATAGGGAATGGGAAGCTATACTGTGAAGCAGAAGCAGCAGCAACGCAGGGCACGGGCAGCAGGAACCTCAGGCAGCACCAATGGAAAAGTGGAGGGCAGCCAGGCTTCGCAGGTGTGATGTACTGACCCACTGCCCTTTGGGAAGCTGCGCCTCAACCAAGCCCCTCTCCCATCACAAGGGGACGAGGACGTGAAAGTGAACTGGAAAAAAGACTTTAAAAACACTTTCTAAAAACAAAACAAAACCCTTTCCCTGGACATTTCACAGAAATGGAATCATACATATATGGTTATTTTGTGACTGGCTTCTTCCACTTAGCCAGATACAGCCACATAATGTATGATTCCATTTCTATGAAATGTCCAGAAAAGGAAAATCTATAGTAACAGAGAGTAGGCTGCCAGGGGCTAAGGATGCTGTCGAAGAGTGACACCAGTGTGCATGAAGGATCTTTCTGGAGTGATGGAAATGTTCTAAAATTGGACACATTTACTAAAAAACACTGACTTACACAACTGGGTGAATTATTTCGTATCTCAAATACACAACAGTAGGGCAGTTTACAAAATTCTTACCTAAAGTCTGTGCTATCTGAGCTGGTGGAAAAAGGACCTGGAGACAGCGATTTAAATATGGAACGAGGTCTTCCAGGAAGACAGTGCAGAACTGGACGAAGAGCTCTTGCTCCCCGCTGCTGAAGGCAGCCTCTTCAGCCCGATGAAAGGCCAGGATTATTTTAGTTACCTAAGAGACAAGGACACTGTCAATCACTGGGACAGCCTATCACCACTGGCAGTGCATGAAACTAGGCCAAAAAAAAAAAAAAAAGAAAGAAAGAAAGGTGTAGCCCTCAAGTTTTCCTGAACAAGGTAATTTAACACAGTACACAAGTTTTCCTGAATAAAGTAATTTAACAGAGTACATTATATTACTATCTCATTTAAACTCAGAATTACGGTCAGTCTCCACAGTTCTGTCACTTCACTGATGTAAAGCTCAGACCCAAATTGTTACATTACAGGTGTAGTTTCCAGTTCCAATGGAGAAGTGTCATAGAATTATAGAAAATACATAGTTTTGTTTTGTTTTTAGAGACAGGAATTTGCTCTGTCACCTATGCTGGAGTGCAGTGGCACAATCAAGGCACATGGTAGCTTCAAATTCTTGGGCTGAAGGAATTTGATACTCCCACCTCAGCCTCTCAAGTACCTGGGACTACAGGGGTGCACCATCATGCCTGCCTAAGTTTTACAATTTTTTCTAGAGATAGGGTATTGCTTTGTTACTCAGGCTGGTCTAGAGCTCCTGTCTTCATAGATCCTGCCTCAGCCTCTCAAAGTGTTGGCATTACAGGCATGAGCCACTGCACCTGGCCCAATACATGGTTCTTGACTTCCACTGAGGATCCACCATGAGCACGTAAATGTGCTGGAGCACAGGAAAATGAAGCAAAACTATACAAGGTTTCTACTAAGGCCCCTGAGGCCCCAGAAAGCTGGAACCACTGGAAAACTGCAAGAAAACAGCTAGGAAAGTGAGGTTCCAAATGTTGAGAGTAAATTCTGACATGTGTGATGTATCACATTGTTTGCTGAGGGCAGCAGCAAGGAAAGCCTAGTCCGCCCCCCAAAGCAGAAAACTGCTCAAAGTATTATAAAACAGTAACCAATATGAGTATGTCCCACACCAGATGAATTCGTGTTTTTTTGTTTTTTTTTTTTTTTTGAGACGAAGTTTTGCTCTTGTTACCCAGGCTGGAGTGCAATGGCGCGATCTCAGCTCACCGCAACCTCTGCCTCCTGGGTTCGGGCAATTCTCCTGCCTCCGCCTCCTGAGTAGCTGGGATTACAGGCACGCGCCACCATGCCCAGCTAATTTTTTTGTATTTTTAGTAGAGACGGGGTTTCACCATGTTGACCAGGATGGTCTTGATCTCTTGACCTCGTGATCCACCCGCCTCGGCCTCTCAAAGTGCTGAGATGACAGGCTTGAGCCACCGCACCCGGCTTTTTTTTTTTTTTTTTTTTTTTTTTTAACACAGGATATGTGACTCCTTTGTTCCCTCGTAAAGTATGCTTTCTAGTTTTATCTTTAACCTATAGCAAACATTCACTAGCTGCCTCATTAGTTTACCTTTAACCAATGAAAGAACACAGGGCATCCACTTGTAAAACTTGTCACTGGAATGTAAGAAATAAATACGTGGGTCAGAGTCTGCTCTGGGCTCTCAGCTGGAAATGCTGTGAGACCCCTGATGCTGCGTACTGTGAACCCACCTTTTACTACTTCTTCTTCTTTTTTTTTTTTTAAAGAGACAAGGTTTCTCCATGTTGGTCAGGCTGGTCTCAAACTCCCAACCTCAGGTGATCCACCAGCCTTGGCCTCCCAAAGTGCTGGGATTACAGGCGTGGGCCACCACACCTGGCCTACTTTCTGTCTCTGTGTCTGTTTCTTAATTCCTTCAGCACTGACTGCATTGGGGTCTGCACAGCTGCACGCCCGGCCTAAGACATATTTTTAAATAAAAATTAAAAAAGAATATGCCAAAGGTGAAGGGTTTTGCAGATGTAATTAAAGTCCCTAATCATCTGACTTAATCCAATGAATCTTTTAAAAGGAGGTACCTAAGGCCGGGCACAGTGGCTCATGCCTATAATCCCAGCACTTTGGGAGGCCAAAGCAGGCAGATCACGAGGTCAAGAGATCGAGACCATCCTAGTCAACATGGTGAAACCCTGTCTCTACTAAAAATGCCAAAAAAAATTAGCTAGGCATGGTGGCGCACACCTGTAGTCCCAGCACCTCGGGAGGCTGAGGCAGGAGAATTGCTTGAACCCAGGAGATGGAGGTTGCAGTGAGCCGAGATCGCGCCATTGCACTCCAGCCTGGGTAACGAGCGAAACTCTGTCTCAAAAAAAAAAAAAAAGGTACCTAAATGGAGACTCAAGCAAGAGAGAAGCTCTCCTGCCGTCCTTGAGGAAGCTAACAACCATGTTGTCAGTTGCCTATGGAGTGGACAGCCTCTAGGAGCTGAGTCTTCAGTTCTATAATTGCAAGCAACAGACCCCTGCTAACTTGAACAAGTTTGAAATGGAGCCCCAACCTCCAGGTGAGAACATAGGCCAGCCAACACCTTGATGGCAACCCCATAGAACTCCGAGCAGAGAGGACCCAGTTGCACTGTGCCTGGACTCCTGACCCACCAAAACCGGGAGGTAATAAATGTGTTACTGGAAGCTACTAAGTTTGTGTGAATTTATTACACAGCACTAGAAAGCTAATACATGCATTACTGAATTGTGACTACAGGTGAGCCACTTCATGAACTGTCCTAGATCCCATGAAGGGCAACTGGCCAAAGCTTCTCAACCAGAAGAACCTCTAAAACCACACTAGACCTTTCCATGTCAGCAGGCACCAGACTTTGTTATTACAAAATTCTGGCCACCCATTATCAAAGGCAGCCCAGGGTAGCAGAAAACCAACAGAATGTGCTCACCTTGGCAAGGGCATCTTCCAAGGCCCCAGTCACGTCCTGCGCTAGGGCTACAGGGCAGCAGAGGCGCAGATCACTTGAAGGCGACCAGAATATTGTTGAGGAAGCAGGCGAGGGGGGGGAAATCTAGAAGCACCATTGGTGGCTGCAGTGTCCCTGGCTGAGTGGCTGGCACAGCAGTAGGCATGTTACTGCTGCCCAGGATGGCTGGAGCTGAGATGAGAGTGTAGGAGTTCATTTCATCCTGGAATTTCTCCACTGTTTGTTGAATTGCTTCCTGGAAAGTGCGGATGGCCACCCGCTGGAAAACAGGAGCTAACTGGCCTCGGAAATCAGCTCCCACCCGGCTGAAGGACAGCCCAAAGTACATGCACTGGCCCAGCAGAGAGTCCAGGCGGCTGCCTATGCCCCGGTAAAGGTCAGTCTCCAGCACCTGCAGGAACTGTGAGACTTTCTGTAGCACCCAGCCGTGGAAGATGGCACTCTCATTCACAGTGTGCTCACCCGTGACAGGGGGCAGCAGTGGGTCCTCGTCTGAGAATATGGCACGGTACTGGGTGATGATGTCAAAGAGATGGACACGGCAGGCCTCAATGGTTTTTGTGATATGGAAATAGGGATCATCATTAGGAATGGCAGTCAGGATGGACCGGAGCCAAGCATCCCGTGCCTGAAGAAACTTCACCCTCAGCTCGGCCTCAGTGAAGACGTCCATGCGCCACAGGTAGCCAATGACACGGAGGCAGGCGGGGAGCTGGATATTGGTCCTCAGTTGCTGGATCAGCTGGCTCAGCATCAGCTGCATGGACTGGCGCACTTCGTTCACGATGCCCTGACAATACAGAGTGTCACACTGCGCTGGGAAGGATGCGCTGTAGAACCCATTCCCCTGACCCTCAAGACTGCAGATCAACATTCTCATGGCTTTCCTGAAATACGAAGTAATTTCCTAAAGCTGATGCCTGTAGATTCACCAACAAAGATCTGGTTGGGTAACTTTCTTACTTAAAAAGCTTAAAGCCGGGCGCGGTGGCTCAAGCCTGTAATCCCAGCACTTTGGGAGGCCAAGGCGGGTGGATCACGAGGTCGAGAGATCGAGACCATCCTGGTCAACATGGTGAAACCCCGTCTCTACTAAAAGTGCAAAAAATTAGCTGGGCATGGTGGCACGTGCCTGTAATCCCAGCTACTCAGGAGGCTGAGGCAGGAGAATTGCCTGAGCCCAGGAGGCGGAGGTTGCGGTGAGCCGAGATCGTGCCATTGCACTCCAGCCTGGGTAACAAGGGCGAAACTCCGTCTCAAAAAAAAAAAAAAAAAAAAAAAAAAAAAAGCTTAAAACCCGGCCAGGCACAGTCGCTTATGCCTATAATCCTAGCACTTTGGGCAGGCAGATCACTTGAGGTCAGGAGTTCCAGACCAGTCTGGCCAACATGGTGAAAACTCGTCTCTACTAAAAATATAAGAATTAGCTAGCTGTGGTGATGCATGCCTGTAATCCCAGCTACTCTGGAGGTGGAGGCAGGAGAATCACTTGAACCCAAGAGATGAAGGTTGCAGTGAACTGAGGTTGCACCACTGCACCCCAGCCTGGGCAACAGAGTGAGACTCTGCCTCAGAAAAAAAAAAGGCTTAAAACCCTCCAGTGACTGCCTACTACAATCAAGAAAATTCCAAGCACTCACTGGGACTTACACAGCCTACCTGGTTCTCCAGTTTCATCTGCTTCCTAATGCTCTCCCACTGCTACAGTCCACTCACCCTGACTGCCTCTGTATCCCATAAACACTTCAACTCTGTCCACTTCGGCCTCTCTACTTTGTTGTTCACACTTTCTGGTTGCTCTCTCCCCAGATCTTGTGGGCTGGCTCATTCTTCTCATTTAGGTCTCAGCTTAAATGTTACCTCCCCAGAAAAGTCTTTCTTAATCACCCTACCTAAAGAAACCTACCCTAGACTCCCTCTACTTATTCCCTGTTTTTGTTTTTTTTTTTTTTTTGGAGTCACTTAACATTATCTCAAATGGTATTATTTATTTGTTTCTTTGTCAATTACCAGACTTCATGTAAGCTTCATGAGAGCCAAGGCCACATTGTATCCCCAGCATATAGAGCAGTGCTTGGCACATGATTAAAAAGTATTTTGAGGCCGGGCGCGGTGGCTCAAGCTTTTAATCCCAGCACTTTGGGAGGCCGAGGCGGGTGGATCACGAGGTCGAGAGATCGAGACCATCCTGGTCAACATGGTGAAACCCCGTCTCTACTAAAAATACAAAAAATTAGCTGGGCATGGTGGCACGTGCCTGTAATCCCAGCTACTCAGGAGGCTGAGGCAGGAGAATTGCCTGAACCCAGGAGGCGGAGGTTGCGGTGAGCCGAGATCGCGCCATTGTACTCCAGCCTGGGTAACAAGAGCGAAACTCCGTCTCAAAAAAAAAAAAAAAAAAAGTATTTTGAATGAATGAATGCATGGATCAATGTTTTATGTTCAGGCATGCCTGGCTGGCAGAAACTGATGTGAAACATTCAAGGATTTCTACCTAAAGCTTCAGTCCTGACCACAGAATAAATGATTATAAGAACATTACTTTGAGTCCTCTCTGGGTAAGTTGGCTACCTGGATGACAGGGATGGAAGAGTATTTCCTCTCCAGTCGGCGTACATAGGCTGAGAGCTCCAGGGCCTCTTCATAATAACTGTTCCGGACACAGGTATCCATGAGCTGAGGAATCTCTAGTATTTCCAGGATTTCTGTGTGCCGGTTTAGGGTCAAGCTATTCATCCGGCGGTTGGAGCTGATCTCTTCGGCTTCCTTCACAAAGTTCCTAGTAAAAATTAGAAGAATGTTGGGCCTTCACTGCTCTGTACTCAAACCTTAGCTACAGTTACCAAGCACCTGCTATGAACATTGGGCTGGATGATCTACCTGATTTATTCCTCACACCCCACCTATAAGGTAAGTACTATTATACCTGAGGAAATTTTTTTTTTCTTTTTTTTTTTTTTGAGATGGAGTTTTGCTGTTGTTACCCAGTTTGGAGTGCAATGGCGCGATCTCAGCTCACCACAACCTCCGCCTCCTGGGTTCAAGCAATTCTCCTGCCTCAGCCTTCCGAGTGGCTGGGACCACGGGCACGCGCCACCACACCCAGCTAATTTTTTGTATTTTTAGTAGAGACAGAGTTTCACCATGTTGACCAGGATGGTCTCCATCTCTTGACCTCGTGATCCACCCACCTCAGCCTCCCAAAGTGCTGGGATTATAGGCGTTAGCCACCGCTCCTGGCCCACACCTGAGGAAATTTTTGATCCCAGAGAGGTTAAGCAACTTGTTCCAAAACATACAACTATAAATCTAACAGATCTAAATCCAGATATGCCACTTGCTGGCTGTGGCAAGGTATTTGGCCTCTCTGAACCTACTTCCTCATTGGTAAAACAGCATATAGGGCCAGGCGCAGTGGCTCACACCTATAATCCTAGCACTTTTTTGGAACCCAAGGCAGGCAGATCACTTGAGGCCAGGAGTTCAAGTGAAACTCCATCTCTACTAAAAATACAAAAAATTAGCCAGGTGTGGTGGCATGTGCCTGTAGACCCAGCTACTTGGTAGGCTGAAGCAGGAGAATCATTTGAACCCAGGATGCGGAGGCTGCAGTGAGCTGAGATCACATCACTTCACTCCAGTCTGGGTGACGGAGCAAGACTCTCTCCAAAAATAAATAAATAAATAAAATTATACAGGACCCTCCTCATAAGGGTGTAAGAACTAAATGAAATGATGTGTGTGAAGCATTTAACACAGAACCTGACACAGAACCAATGTATCAGAGTAAAAATTGTAAACGAGAAACAGAGTTAAATATTTAACAACAGCTATCATTATTTTCATAATGAAGCACTAAGTAGCCTAGAATCCAAAACCTTTCCCCATATTCCCCCAGGTTTTCACCTTCTCCTATGCTAATGTTCAACCATAGTTCCTGTCACAGTCTACTTTCAACATTTCTTCTCTGTATTTGCAGAGACCTGCTTTATCAAGTTACGTATCTATTCTGGAGCATGGAAGAGTACAAAAGCTGCTGTCAAATGTCCAAAGGCTCAACAGAAAAATTAAACTTTAGGCCAGGCACTGGCCTGTAATTCCAGCACTTCAGGAGGCCGATGTGGGCGGGACATCTGAGGTCGAGAGTTCAAGACCACCTTAACCAACATGGAGAAACCCCATCTCTACTAAAAATACAAAATTAGCTGGGCATGGTGGCGTGCACCTGTAGTCCCAGCTACTTGGGAGGCTGAGGCAGGAGAATCACTTGAACTTGGGAGGCAGAGGTTGCAGTGAGCTTAGACAGAGCCATTGCACTCTAGCCTGGGTAACAAGAGTGAAACTCCGTCAAAGTGAAAAGAAAAATAAAAATTAAACTTTAATAATGAAAGGCTGGAAGGCAGAACTATGGATAACGGACAGGATCTATGAAGACAGAATATGACTCAAAAAGGACTTTTTTTTTTTTTGGCGACAGTCTCGCTCTGTCGTCAGGCTAGAGTGCTGTGGCACAATCTCAGCTCACTGCAACCTCTGCCTCCCAAGTTCAAGCGATTCCCCTGCCTCAGCCTCCCGAATAGCTGGGACTACATACGGCATGTACCACCATGCCCAGCTAATTTTTGTATTTTTAGTAAAGACAGGGTTTCAGTATGTTAGCCAAGATGGTCTCAATCTCTTGACCTCGTGATCCGCCTGCCTAAGCCTCCCAAAGTGCTGTGATTACAGGTATTAGCCACCGTGCCTTTTTTTTTTTTTTTTTTTTGAGACAGAGTTTTACTGTGTCATCCAGTCTGGAATGCAGTGGCACAATCACAGCCCCACAGCTGCCTCAACCTCCCAGACTGGAATGCAGTGGCGCAATCACGGCTCACTGCAGCCTCAATCTCCCGGGCCCAAGTGATCCTCCCACCTCAGCCTCCTGAGTAGCTGGGACTACAGGCGCATGCCATCATGCCCAGCTATTTTTTTTACTTTGTAGAGACAAGGTTTTGCCATGTTGGCCAAGCTGCTCTCGAACTCCTGGGTTCAAGCGTCTGGTTCCCAAAGTGCTGGGATTACAGGCTGAGCCATCACACCCAGCCATCCAAAAGGAGAGACTCTTTGATATTTGATGCCCTCAAATGGGAGGATGTCCTTGTCAGCTTCCTGTCAATGGAAGTTTTGAAGCAGATGACCTCCGTACTTGTTTTGTATAAAAAAAGTACATGAATGTGCAGATATATTCAGCTCACACCTATAATGTCAATTATGTCAGACGCGGTAATAAGAGCTTTGCATGAATCCTTTTTTTTTTAGTGCTCACAACAGCCCTTCAAGGGAGGGACGTGCTCCTGGGTATCCAGTTCTGAATTCGAACCCTCCTAGTAGTGTCCTTAGATGTCACTAATCTCTGTCTTGACTAGCTCATATGTAAAATGGAAATAACACAGCCGGGTGCAGTGGCTCACACCTGTAATCCCAGCACTTTGGGAGATGAGGCAGGTGGATCACGAGGTCAGGAGTTCGAGACCATCCTGGCCAACATGGTGAAACCCAGTCTCTACTAAAAACACAAAAAAATTAGCTGGGCGTGGTTGCATGCGCCTGTGGTCCCGCTACTCAGGAGGCAGAGGCAGGAGAATCACCTGAAGCCGGGAGGTTGAGGCTGCAGTGACCTGAGATCGCGCCACTGCACTCCAGCCTGGCGACAGAGCGAGACTCTATCTCAAAAAAAGTGTGTGGGGGGCGGGAGGGAAGGCGAATAGCAGTGCCTACCTTGAAGGCTGTTTTGAGGTTTAAATGCATTAGTAAGGGGATCAGCAGAGAGCCTCGACGTGGTAAACGCTTTGTGTTAGCTATTTCTACCATCTTAAACGTCAGCTTTTACAGTTAAAAGCCCCTTTAGCGCCAGGCGCGTCGCACCTGCAGCTCTGCTGGAAGCTGGGCAAGCGGTCGAGCAGGCGGCCGAGCGACGCCTCCACGTCTCCAAAGAGGCGGTGGATGCGCTCGGTGCACTCGGCGCCACGGATGAAGGTCTTGTAGTTGGCGAAGGCCAAGTCGCGCGTCTGCTGCAGCAGCTGAGCCCGCTCCTCCGCTAGGCGCTCGGGCTCGCGCCGCAGCCGCTCCAGCCCCGAGCCGCTCAACTCCCGGAGATAGCGGCCTACATCGGGCCGCTCGCGCCACTGGGCTTCCGGGAAGCGGTCCCGGAACAGCGATGCCAGGAGCCCTTCATCCTCCACCTCTCCGAGAGCCGCCGCCGTGGCCGTGGCTGACGATGAGCTAATCGCCGTCGCCGCCATCTTCCCCGCAGCCACGTCACTTCCCCTCCTAACCACCGAGAGCGCAAACTCAATTTAGGACAGGAAGTAACAGGCACATTTCCGGTCTTTATGTTTTCTCATCCGGCCGGCTTGCTTTCCCCGGCGGAGGTCCAGGCTACCGGGCACTAGCGAGAGGAAGGCTTGGTTCAGGGCTAGAGAGGCAGGCTTTGGGGTTGCCTGGGAGCTGCGGGGCAGCGAGTTCCGTTTCCGGTTACCGAGGCACGAGGATCTGGTGTTCTAACCCAGTGGGAAAATGCGGCCTTTGACTGAAGAGGAGACCCGTGTCATGTTTGAAAAGATCGCAAAATAGTAGGAGCGCGCGGGGCGGACGAGGGTGTGTGTGTGTGTGTGTCGGGGGGTGACTAGTGGTGGAGTGGGGACGCGGTGCCGTTCGGGCGCGGCCTCCAGTCCTCCTTTTGCCCTCAGCATCGGGGAGAATCTTCAGCTGCTGGTTGACCGGCCCGATGGCACCTACTGTTTCCGGCTGCACAACGACCGGGTGTACTATGTAAGGTGAGGCGGAGAGCAAGCAGCATGGACCCGGGGGAGGGAGTCCTGGGTCCCACCAGCCCCCTTCATCCGCAACCTTGCTCCCCCTTTAGTGAGAAGATTATGAAGCTGGCCGCCAATATCTCTGGGGACAAGCTGGTGTCTCTGGGGACCTGCTTCGGAAAATTCACTAAGACCCACAAGTTTCGGTTGCACGTCACAGCCCTGGATTACCTTGCACCTTATGCCAAGGTTTGTGGGGTGGTTTCCATTCCGCCACGGGCGATGAAATTAAGAATGAGGCAGATTATCAGGCAGCTTCTCTCAGAGTCCCTGTCAGTGTGCTTGGGGGAGTGTCAGCACGTGGAGATGTGCAGAAGCCTTGCAGCTTGGGCATGGTCAAGGATATGGCATGGGAGTGCTGTGTGGCTGCGTAGTGGTAGTTTTCTCCAGCAAAATAGAAAAGCCTGTGCAGACCCAGCTCGAGATCAGAAAGCAAGTAAGTGGCTGCAGTGAGGACACCGGGATCCAGAAAAAGAGCTGTTAACCTGGCCATGGAAGATGATCCTTGTAGAGTTGAGAACTTTTTGCGTTTAATTTATTCTTTTTTTTTCTTTTCTTTCTGACACAGTTCACAATTGTGAATTGCCCAGGCTGGAGTGCAGTGGCATCTTAGTAATCTGTATTTCTTTGCATTTTTTTGCATTTCTCACTCATTTCGGCTAACTGCAGCCTCCGCCTTCCAGATTCTAGCGATTCTCGTGCCTCAGCCCGCTGTGTACCTGGGATTAAAGGTGTGCGCCACCATGCCTGGCTGATATTTTTTGTGTTTTTAGTAGGGACAGGGTTTTGCCATGTTGGCCAGGCTGGTCTCGAACTTCTGGCCTCAAGTGAAACACCTGCCTCAGCCTCCCAAAGTGCTGGGATTACAAGCATGAGCCACTGTGTGAGGCAACTTCCTGCTTTTCTGTTCAGGAGGTGGACAGTTTGAGGGAAACGTGTCTCTCTGTTTCCCTTAAAATTATGTCAGAAAATTATCCACAGATCCAGCAGCTAGCTTGTCTGCAGGGATAGAAATAGTAACGTTTTTGTGTCTCTTGGATTTTACTTCTCTTTCTTACAGTATAAAGTGTGGATAAAGCCTGGTGCAGAGCAATCCTTCCTTTATGGGAACCATGTGTTGAAATCTGGTCTGGGTCGAATCACCGAAAATACTTCTCAGTACCAGGGCGTGGTGGTATACTCCATGGCAGACGTCCCTTTGGTGAGTAAAGAGATGGTTAGCTGTGCCGGGCGCGGTGGCTCAAGCCTGTAATCCCAGCACTTTGGGAGGCCGAGGCGGGTGGATCACAAGGTCGAGAGATCGAGACCATCCTGGTCAACATGGTGAAACCCCGTCTCTACTAAAAATACAAAAAACTAGCTGGGCATGGTGGCGCGTGCCTGTAATCCCAGCTACTCAGGAGGCTGAGGCAGGAGAATTGCCTGAACCCAGGAGGTGGAGGTTGCGGTGAGCCGAGATCGCGCCATTGCACTCCAGCCTGGGTAACAAGAGTGAAACTCCGTCTCAAAAAAAAAAAAAAAAAAAAGATGGTTAGCTGTTAGAAAAATCAAGTACTCTTATAACTCAATCAAGACAGTTGCAGGTGGGCACAAAAAAAATAATAAGTAGTCTTTTATTCAAGGAGGATATGTTTTTAATCTGTGTGCTTGGGAGACTAAATTCTCAGCACCTTTTGAATTCCAGAAGGACCAGAACTGTATTTTTTCCATCTTTGTTATTTCTAGCCCTCAGTATGGGCATATTGAATGACCAGTGAGTTAGTCTCTTCTTTTGAATCCCAGGGTTTTGGGGTGGCAGCAAAATCTACACAAGACTGCAGAAAAGTAGACCCCATGGCAATTGTGGTGTTTCATCAAGCAGACATTGGGGAATATGTGCGGCATGAAGAGACACTGACTTAAAAGGAACTCATTGCAAGGACAGACGGCTGTGTGGAAGGGCCGAGCTTTGTTTCCTGTGCTTGTGTAGACTCTGTCATCATGTTGAACTTTGTCATCACTCTGACCTCTTCAGGGACTTCTTAGTTTACTGTATTCTCTATCACTGACAAATGCAGGCTGGAATCATACTATATACTGAGATGGCTCAAAAATGGAGTTTCAGATCTTTGTATTTGTGACAACATAGAATACTCTTTCATATTCAAATCAGAGGGCTTCTTGTTCTGAGAAATAGGTTGAAAATCTTTGGAACTAGGAACAAGAATAGCTTATTGTTATCTGCGATAACACTTTGTTTTCTAAACTCATGATAAGAACACATGGATTTTCTTTTTCATTACTATGAAAGATAGACATTGCCATATCAGAACAGTAGGCCACCTGTGGGGTATAACAAATGAAATTTGGCTAAAATAATAGGAGCAATTTGTTCAGCTGTTTTTCTATACACTAAGTGCTGTGCAGTATGGAAGAAAAATGGGTTCAAATCCCAGTTCTGCTACCTACCAGCTTTATGGCCTTGAATGAGTCATTCAGCTTTTCTTTTTAATTTATTTTTTTCATTAATTTTTTTTTAAGATGGGGTTTCACACTGTTGGTCAGGCTGGTCTTGAACTCCTGACCTCAGGTGATCTGCCTGCCTTGGCCTCCAAAGTGCTTGGATTACAGGCGTGAGCCACCACGCCTGGCCATCATTCAGCTTTAATAAGGTTCATTTTCTTTTGTTTAAAAAGACACAAAATTTAAAAAACAGCTTTGGCCATCTACCTGAGAATTATTAGAAATCATGATTGTAGGCTGGGTGCGGTGGCTCACGCTTGTAATCAAAGCACTTTGGGAGGCCAAGGCAGGTGGATCACTTGAGGAGTTCGAGACCAGCCAGGCCAACATGGGGAAACCTCATCTCTAGTGAAAATACAAAAAAATTAGCCAGGTGTGGTGGTGCGTGCCTCTAGTCCTAGCTACTTGTGAGGCTGAGGCAGGAGAATGGCAGTAACCCGGGAGGCAGAGGTTGCAGTGAGCCAAGATCATGCCATTGCACTCCAGCCTGAGCAACAGAGCGAGACTCTGTCTCAAACAAACAAACAAAAAAAAGCAATCATGAGGCCGGGCGTGGTGTGGCTCAAGCCTGTAATCCCAGCACTTTGGGAGGCCGAGGCGAGTGGATCACGAGGTCAAGAGATCGAGACCATCCTGGTCAACATGGTGAAACCCCGTCTCACTGAAAATACAAAAAATTAGCTGGGCATGGTGGCGCGTGCCTGTAATCCCAGGTACTCAGGAGGCTGAGGCAGGAGAATTGCCTGAACCCAGGAGGCGGAGGTTGCGGTGAGCCGAGATCGCGCCATTGCACTCCAGCCTGGGTAACAAGAGCGAAACTCCGTCTCAAAAAAAAAAAAAAAAAAAAGCAATCATGATTGTAAAGTGTCTAGTATAGTGCCTGGGAAATGATATGTATGGAATAAATGGTAAGAATTATTTTTTTTATATTATATATATTATGTATTCCTGTTATTAAGTGTGGAGTTTATGAGTATAATTTTATTATCTTCTTTTTTACAAGCTGTTTTCTCAGTTTTTTTTCTTGGATGGGATGATCCTAGGCTGGAATGTTTTTTTCATCACTGTGATTTTATAAAATATAATATTTTCTATGAACCTTTACTTACTTGACTCGATTGGACTAAAGACTACCTGTATTGTAAAACTACACTATTTCTTTAATGAATATACTGCTTAATTTCCAAAGGTGAAGTCTTTAAAAATAAAACATTACCAACTCCTGCTTTTACATGTAAGCAAACTTGATTTTGGCCTGTCTTTTTCAGCTCTTCTCCCATCTAAGGTGTTCTGTTAACCTCTAAGCAGACTCGGTGAAAGCTAAGGGACTGCTATATGATAAACAGTATTTTGATACATTTCATACATACTAAAGAACTTTTTCATTGTTATTTTTTATTGCCATTTTGCCTTTTTAGATGTGTGCAGCAGACTAAAACATTATGAGATAAATGGATTTTTGTCCCAGAGTGTTACAAAGCTGATTCGACTAAGCTTCTGCCCCAGAAGAAAAGTGCCAGGGTGCTGTAGTCAGCTTAGCTTAGCATCTTGGCTTCTTTATGTCTGTAGTTGTTGGAACATTGAAGAGACGCTTCAAGAAATACAGTTGCAGGATCCCAGAAAGAATAATAATGAGGCTCTGGGCTGTCGACCACCAGTTCACGTAATGATAGTTTGACTGGAGAAGGAAAAAGTCAGCCATTTTCCTCATCCGGGCAAAGTTGTAGTATCGCCACATATGAAAGATATTGTTCTGCACCTTTTGTGTGCTGTCCTATGAGAGAGAAAATTTTAAAAGGGATTCTTCCAAACCCCCATCTCTCACCTGGGTGCTCACCAGCACTAACCTAAGTTATCTGGATGTCAAATAATTTACCCATATGATTTTAAGATGTATAATACTATTATAGTTATTGATAAACGTTGTGTTTGCTATGTATGATATATGGCCTGGACTTTAGTTTAAAATTTTTGTTTCTGGTTTGTTTTTGTTTTTGTTTTTTTTGAGACGGAGTTTCACTCTTGTTACCCAGGCTGGAGTGCAATGGCGCGATCTCGGCTCACCACAACCTCTGCCTCCTGGGTTTAAGCAATTCTGCCTCAGTCTCCCGAGTAGCTGGGACTACAGGCATGCGCCACCATGCTCAGCTAATTTTTGTGTTTTTAGTAGAGACAGGGTTTCATCATGCTGACCAGGATGGTCTCGATCTCTTGACCTCGTGATCCACCCGCCTTGGCCTCCCAAAGTGCTGGGATTACAGGCCTAAGCCACCATGCCTGGCTGTTTCTGTTTTTTGAGATGGTCTCACTTTTTTGCCCAGGCTGGAATACAGTGGTGCAGTCACAGCTCATGCAGCCTTAACCTTCTGGGCTCAAGTGATCTTCCCACCTCAGCCTCCCTAGCAGCTGGGACTGCAGGCACATGCCACCACACCCAACTAATTTTTTTTTTTTTTTTTTTTTTTTTTTTTTTTTTTCGGTAGAGATGGAGTTTCACTGTTTCCCAGGCTAGTCTCAAACTCCTGGGCTCAAGCGATCCTACCTTGGCCTTCCAGAGTGCTGGGATTACAGGTGTTGAGCCACCTCACCTGGCCTAAAATGGGCAAAGGAATCGAATAGACATTTCTCCAGAGAAGATACAGAGATGGCCAGTAAGCACATGGAAAGATGCTCAACGTTATTAATCATTAGGGAAATACAACTCAAAACTGCAAGATAACATTTCACATCCATTATGATGGCTTCAACAAAAAAGAAAATAACAAGTGGTGAGGAAGTAGAGAAATTAGACCTTCGTACACTACTAGAAGGAGCTTAAAATGGTTTAGCCACTGTGGTAAACAGTCTCCAGCAATTCCACTTTCAGGTATACAGAAATGAAAACATGGTAACACAAAAACTTGTATGGAAATGCTCATAGCAGTGTTATGATAGCCAGAAGGTAGAAAAACCTAAATGTCCATCATGTCCATCAACTGATGAATGGATAAATAAGATGTATATCCATAAAACAATATTATTCAGCCATAAAGAGAAATAAAAGGCCGGGCGCGGTGGCTCAAGCCTGTAATCCCAGCACTTTGGGAGGCCGAGGCGGGTGGATCACGAGGTCGAGAGATCGAGACCATCCTGGTCAACATGGTGAAACCCCGTCTCTACTAAAAATACAAAAAAATTAGCTGGGCATGGTGGCACGTGCCTGTAATCCCAGCTGGAGGCTGAGGCAGGAGAATTGCCTGAACCCGGGAGGCGGAGGTTGCGGTGAGCCGAGATCGCGCCATTGCACTCCAGCCTGGGTAGCAAGAGCGAAACTCCGTCTCAAAAAAAAAAAAAAAAAAAAAAAAAAGAGAGAAATAAAAGTACTGATACATGCTACAATGTGGATGAACCTTGAGAGCATGCTAAATTAAAGAAGCCAGTCTTGGCTGGGCACGGTGGTTCACAGTTGTAATCCCAAGACTTTGGGAGGCCAAGGTGGATAGATCACCTGAGGTCAAGAGTTCGAAACCAGCTTGGCCAACATGGTGACAATTGTCTCTACTGAAAATGCAAAAATTAGTTGGCATGGTGTTGGGTGCCTGTAATCCCAGCTACTTGGGAGGTTAAGGCAGGAGAATCCCTTGAACCCTGGAGGCGGAGGTTGCAGTGAGCAGAGACTATGCTATTGCACTCCATCCTAGACAAGAAGAAGGAAGCTCCATCTCAAAAAATAAAAGTAAGCCAGACAAAAAAGGCCACGTATTGTGTGGTTCCACTTAAATACAGTATATGGAGGCCAGCCACAGTGGCTCAAAGTGTTGAGTAATCTCAGCACAGTAGCTCAAAATGCATAGTAATTTCAGGTCAGTGTCTCAAAGTGCTGAATCTCAGCACTTTGGCAAGCTGAGCTGGGAGGATTGCTTGAGCGTAGGAGGTTGAGACTGCAGTGAGCTGTGATCAAACCACCGCACACCCCATCCTGGACAATAAGAGTGAGACCATGTCTCAAAAATTAAGTACAGAACAGGTAAATCTATAGAGACAATAGAATAGTGATTGGCAGGCCTGGGGTGATAAGAGAATGGGAGAATGACTAATGGGTAGTGGGATTGGGAGGGGGTGGGGTTGATAAACTTCTAGAATTAGATGCTAATAGTTGCACAACCTTGTGAATATACTAAAAAAACCACTTAATTATACACTTTAAGATGGTGTATGGCCGGGCGCGGTGGCTCAAGCCTGTAATCCCAGCACTTTGGGAGGCCGAGGCGGGTGGATCACGAGGTCGAGAGATCGAGACCATCCTGGTCAACATGGTGAAACCCCGTCTCTACTAAAAGGTGCAAAAAATTAGCTGGGCATGGTGGCGTGTGCCTGTAATCCCAGCTACTTAGGAGGCTGAGGCAGGAGAATTGCCTGAGCCCAGGAGGCGGAGGTTGCGGTGAGCCGAGATCGCGCCATTGCACTCCAGCCTGGGTAACAAGAGTGAAACTCCGTCTCAAAAAAAAAAAAAAAAAAAAAAGATGGTGTATGGTAGATAAATTATATCTCAATTTCAAGAAAACAGGCTAAGAGTTAAGACTTTGAGGGGAAAAATTTACAGGAAAAAAGAAAAACGCAATGAGCCAGATTTGGCCTGTGAGCCATACATAGTTTGCCAACCCTTGGTATAAAACAAGAGGAATTTCAAGTGCTTCAAGTTATTTATTAAAAGATAAACATCGGCCGGGCGCGGTGGCTCAAGCCTGTAATCCTAGCACTTTGGGAGGCCGAGGCGGGTGGATCACGAGGTCAAGAGATCGAGACCATCCAGGCCAACATGGTGAAACCCCGTCTCTACCAAAAATACAAAAAATTAGCTGGACATGGTGGCGCGTGCCTGTAATCCCAGCTACTCAGGAGGCTGAGGCAGGAGAATTGCCTGAACCCAGGAGACGGAGGTTGCGGTGAGCCGAGATCGCACCATTGCACTCCAGCCTGGGTAACAAGAGCGAAACTCTGCCTAAAAAAAAAGATAAACATCCCCTTGCCTGTTTGGTTTCTACCTAAATGAAGCCATCTTCCCTCCAAAGTTAAAATTGGTTTCCACAGATGTTTCTCTTCACAAAACACTTCCTTACCTCTATTGCATCCAGAGTATCGTTCAGTTGTTTTCTTTCCTTTCGTTTGTGATCAGTCTCAGGCCCCTCATAGAAGACTCCAAAGTTGAGGTACACTTGCACGGAAGCGAAGTGATTATGCTGATTACTTAGACAAAGCTGATAAAAACCTGTAAGAATTCCTAGATCATTACCAAGTCTTTGGTCTCCTACCCTTTGTTAAGAAATTCCTGGAGGTATCTGTCCTCCAGTGTTGGAATTGCTATTTAGCACGTTCTTTTTACTTAGAAAGTACAAATATCCCATTTTTGACATGGAAGACACAGATGTTGTGTGAAACTTATACTAAATATTACTTATTCTATTTGGCCAAATTTTAGTAACTTTAGTTCTTTCCATACCAGGTAGCAAACAATGTTTTCTCTCTCTCTTACAACATAAAATTCCCACATCTTGTATTAAGGAGCCCCTGCTCAACAGACTGAGTTGAAATTAAGAGCATGGTGTTTGCCTGGTCCTTGTATACCATTAGAGCGAGGGACACCATCTTGAACTTAGATTACAGGGAAAAAAAAAAGATGCATAGTGCATGAAAGCAGCTCTCCTGCTGGAGTGATTGCCTCCAAGGGCGTCTGTGCAGTGACTGATGGTTTGGGATATCTGCTGGTGCTGGGGTTGCCTCTCTGTGTGCAGGGGTGGAGGGGACAGGTGGAAGATAAGGTGGTGGTATTTGAAAGTCAAAATGGCAGGGTGCGGTGGGGTGTGCCTGTAGTCCCAGCTACTTGGGAGGCTGAGGCTGGAGGATCTCTTGAGTCTAGGAGTTCTGAGCTATCGTGTGCTATGCCGATTGGGTGTCCACACTAAATTTGGCATCAATATGGTGACCTCCCGGGAGCTGGGGACCACCAAGTTGCCTAAGGAGGGGTGAACCAGCCCAGGTCAGAAACGGAGCAGGTCAAAACCCCCGTGCTGATCAGTAAGGGGATTGTGCCTGTGAATAGCCACTACACTCCAGCCTGGGCAACATAGCGAGACCCTGTCTCTTAAAAAACAAAAAGAAAGTCAAAATGATTGAAAGGTACTACAGGCATGTAGTGCCCAAAGATGTTCCAAATTTTTTTTGAGATGGAGTCTCACTCTGTCACCCAGGCTGCAATGCAGTGGCGTGATCTCAGCTCACAGTAGCCTCTGCCTCCTGGGTTGAAGCGATTCTCCTGCCTCAGCCTCCCAATCCAAGTAGCTGGGATTACAGGCGCCCGCCACCACGCCCAGCTAATTTTTGTATTTTTAGTAAAGATGAGATTTCACCATATTGGTCAAACTAGTCTCGGACTCCTGACCTCAGGTGATATCTCACATAGCCATACATTTATTTTCTTTTCCTTTTTTTTTGAGATGGAGTTTTGCTCTTGTTGCCCCGGCTGGAGTACAATGGCGTGATCTCGCCCACCCTGGCTTCCCAAAGTGGTGGGATTACAAGCATAAGCCACTGCACCCGGCCTGTTCAAGATCTTTTAACACTGATACACATCCTGTGCTTCACAGTGAAGGACTGTCTGATGCCCCTACTGAGAAAACGTCTTTTTTAGTGCAGCTGGCTAGTAAAGAGGGCATTTAAGACACTGGTGTTATCCAAAGCGGGACAGGCTTGACCTGGCTGGAGGAGTGCTTTATTGTGGAGTGTGGATATCTCACATGGCCATGCGTTTTCTTTTCTTTTCTTTTTTTCTTTTTTTTGAGATGGAGTTTTGCTCTTGTTTCCCAGGCTGGAGTACAATGGCTCGATCTTGGCTCATTATAACCTCCATCTCCTGGTTTCAAGTGATTCTCCTGCCTCAGCCTCCTGAGTAGCTGGGAATGCAGGCATGCACCACCACGCCCTGCTAATTTTGTAATTTTAGTAGATATGGGGTTTCTCCCTGTTGATCAGGCTGGTCTTGAACTCCTGACCTCAGGTGATCCGCCCGCCTCAGCCTCCCAATGTGCTGGGATTACAGGGGTGAGCCATCACGCCTGGCCAGCCATGTGTTTTCTTTTGTTCTGCATCTGCTTTTAGTAATTGGCTCAAATATTCCGATGACTGGAAAGAAATGTTTCCCTGTAATACATTTGTTAATTGGAATTCTGTATTATAAATGGGTCTCTGTTTTTTGGTCACTTTCCCAGAATCTGATCAATTGGAGACAATGAGGTAAAAGTGAGCTGCTTGCCTCCCTTCCTCTCCCCTCCTTCCCCTCCTCCCTCCTCCCCTAAAAAAGAAAAAAAGAAAAAAAAAAGATTGAGCTGCTCACCTGGAGATGCTGCCCCCAAATTATCAGTAGACTGCCACTTGGCATCCTTGGAGGTCAGCAGTCTCTAGGAATACTGGTTTTTGGTGTTAAAGGCTGATTTTTTTCCTACTGTTTAAACATCTCTGCATGCATCCTCATTATTTCCCTAATTTTATAGCATCTTATGACTATTATGATAGCCATGGTCATGAAAACAGACCTGTCTCTTGGGTAGAGAAGTTAATTTGGCCCCGAACATCCTGGGAAGTGTCTATGAGAAATCCCTGTGGGTTGTGTGCAGTGGCAGCAACATGCCGGTCATGTGACATCCCCACTGTCCGCTGAACCTGCCAAGACACATTAAATAGTGAGCAAAGCCCCTGCTACATCAAGAGGAAGCCAGCTGAGTGGTAAGATTGATGTCCCACAGTCATCAGCACAGGGGTCTCAGCTGGGGTGGGACTGCACAACCCCCTGCTGGGTTTTGGAATTGACTGGAGGATTCTGAGGTGTCACAGTGATGGTGTTAAGGGGAGGATGCACAGCAATGCTGAATGTCTGCAACATTAGAAACAGTAAAGTAGGACAAAGAACTGCCCAGAATGCCACCAGCACCCCTGTCGAGCCAGGCGTTAATCCCAGCACTTTGGGAGGCTGAGGCGGGTGGATCACAAGGTCAAGAGATTGAGACCATCCTGGTCAACAAGGTGAAACTCCATCTCTACTAAAAACACAAAAAAGCCGGGCGCGGTGGCTCAAGCCTGTAATCCCAGCACTTTGGGAGGCCGAGGCGGGTGGATCACGAGGTCAAGAGATCGAGACCATCCCGGTCAACACAGTGAAACCCCGTCTCTACTAAAAATACAAAAAATTAGCTGGGCATGGTGGCACGTGCCTGTAATCCCAGCTACTCAGGAGGCTGAGGCAGGAGAATTGCCTGAACCCAGGAGGCGGAGGTTGCGATGAGCCGAGATCGCGCCATTGCACTCCAGCCTGGGTAACAACAGCAAAACTCTGTCTCAAAAAAAAAAAAAAAAAAAACACAAAAATTAGCTGGGCATGGTGGCGCACACCTGTAGTCCTAGCTACTTGGGAGGCTGAAGTAGGAGAATTGCTTGAACTCAGGAGGTGGAGGTTGCAGTGAGCCAAGATTGTGCCATTGCACTCCAGCCTGGGTAACAAGAGCGAAACTCCATCTCAAAAAAAAAAAAGAAGGAAAGAAGGAGACATGTCTTGCTTGGACCACACAGCTGAAGTGGATGATTTGGGCCGGGCATGGTGGCTCACACCTGTAATCCCAGCATTTTGGGAGGCCGAGGCAGATGGATCGCAAGGTCAAGAGTTCAAGAACGGCCTGGCCAACATGGTGAAACCCCGTCTCTACTAAAAATATACAAAAATTGGCCAGGCATAGTGGCTCACACTTGTAATCCTAGCACTTTGGGAGGCTGAGGCAGGTGGATTGCCTGACCTCAGGAGTTCCAGACCAGCCTGGGCAACTCGGTGAAACTTCGTCTCTACTAAAATACAAAAATTAGCTGGGCATGGCAGCATGTGCCTGTAGTCCCAGCTACTTGGGAGGCTGAGGCAGGAGAACTGCTTGAACCCAGGAGGTGGAGGTTGCAGTGAGCAGAAATCACACCATTGCACTCCAGCCTGGATGACAGAGCAAGACTCTGGCTCTACAAAAAAAAAAAATAATAATAATACAAAAATTAGCCAGGCATGGTGGTGTGTGACTGTAATCCCAGCTACTCGGGAGGCTGAGGCAGGAAAATCACTTGTACCTGGGAGATGGAGTTGCAGTGAGCCAAGATCATGCCACTGCACTCCAGCCTCAGTGGCAGAGCAAGACTCTGTCTTAAAAAAAAAGTACAATTCTGGTTGTAGAGTTGTCTTTTTTCTTTTTTTGAGACAGTGTCACCCTGTCACCCAGGCTGGAGTGCAGTGGCTCGATCTTGGCTCAATGCAACCCCCATCTCCCAGGTTCAAGCAATTCTCACAACTCAGTCACTCAAGTAAGCTGGGATTACAGGCAGGAGCCACCAAGCCCAGCTAAGTTTTGTATTTTTAGTAGAGATGGGGTTTTGCCATATTGCCTGAGATGGTCTCAAACTCCTGACCTCAGGTGATCCGCCTGCCTCAGCCTCCCAAAGTGCTGGGATTACAAGTGTGAGCCACCGCCCCCGGCCTGGCTGTAAAATTCTTGAATGAAGTTGCTTGGTGGTTGAGCTCCCCGAAGGTGTCCCAGGTTTGGGCATTTGCTGCTTGGCAGTGCACACCTACAGCAAGCACTCCATGGACACTCGCTCCCAAGTTAGATCTTGATTAGCCCAGGCCACGGTAAGCTGAGTAGTGGCTGCTGTTCTAACATAAATTCAGAGGTAAGAAAAGGCTCTGATAAGTTTATTTAAAATAAATGTTGTTACAGTGGAGTGGAATAAGATCAACATAGTCTATTACTATGTAAACAAAAATTAGTAAGTTAACAGATTTTTAAGATAAAGAACAAGCCGGGCGCGGTGGCTCAAGCCTGTAATCCCAGCACTTTGGGAGGCTGAGGCGGGTGGATCACGAGGTCGAGAGATCGAGACCATCCTGGTCAACATGGTGAAACCCCGTCTCTACTAAAGATACAAAAAATTAGCTGGGCATGGTGGCACGTGCCTGTAATCCCAGCTACTCAGGAGGCTGAGGCAGGAGAATTGCCTGAGCCCAGGAGGCGGAGGTTGCGGTGAGCCGAGATCGCGCCATTGCACTCCAGCCTGGGTAACAAGAGCGAAACTCCGGCTCAAAAAAAAAAAAAAAAAAAAAAAAAGATAAAGAACAAAGGAAATCAATAGCCTCTAACTTTAATATTGAGCTCACCATCCTGGGACAGCATGTAAGAACATAGAATGGGGCCGGGCGCGGTGGCTCACGCCTGTAATCCCAGCACTTTTGGAGGCCGAGATGGGTGGATCATGAGGTCAAGAGATCGAGACCATCCTGGTCAACATGGTGAAACCCTGTCTCTACTAAAAATACAAAAAATTAGCTGGGCATGGTGGCGCGTGCCTGTAACCCCAGCTACTCCGGAGGCTGAGGCAGGAGAATTGCCTGAACCCAGGGGGCGGAAGTTGCGGTGAGCCGAGATCGCGCCATTGCGCTCCAGCCTGGGTAACAAGAGCGAAACTCCGTCTCAAAAAAAAAAACAAAAAACATAGAATGGAAAAAAATCCTTGACCTATGAACAGGTAACTTGAAAACAATTACCTTCCTAAAAAAGAAAAAAAAAATAGGATTGTCTGACTGAATAGAAAAAACTTGAGCTAGTGATTCTCCAATTTGCCAGAATTTCTCCTAAAGGCAGCAACAGAGTCTTTACTCCCCCACCCCCATAAACTGAAGTGGCCTTTTTTTTTTTTTTTTTTTGAGACAGAGTTTTGCTGTTGTTGCCCAGGCTGGAGTGCAATGGCGCGATCTCAGCTCACTGCAACCTCCGCCTCCTGGGTTCAAGTGATTCTCTGCCTCAATCCCCCATGTCCTTGGGATAACAGGTGCCTGCCACCACGCCCAGCTAATTTTTGTTATTTTTTAGTAGAGATAGGGTATCATCATGTTGGCCAGGCTGGTCTCAAACTCCTGACCTTGCCGGGCGCAGTGGCTCAAGCCTGTAATCCCAGCACTTTGGGAGGCTGAGGCGGGTGGATCATGAGGTCAAGAGATCGAGACCATCCTGGTCAACAAGGTGAAACCCCGTCTCTACTAAAAATACAAAAAGTTAGCTGGGCATGGTGGTGCGTGCCTGTAATCCCAGCTACTTAGGAGGCTGAGGCAGGAGAATTGCCTGAGCCCAGGAGGCGGAGGTTGCGGTGAGCCGAGATCGTGCCATTGCACTCCAGCCTGGGTAACAAGAGCGAAACTCCGTCTCAAAAAACAAAACAAAAAAAAAACATGGTGAAACCCCGTCTCTACTAAAAATACAAAAAATTAGCTGGGCATGGTGGTGCGTGCCTGTAATCCCAGCTACTCAGGAGGCTGAGGCAGGAGAATTGCCTGAGCCCAGGAGGCGGAGGTTGTGGTGAGCCGAGATCGCGCCATTGCACTCCAGCCTGGGTAACAAGAGTGAAACTCCGTCTCAAAAAACAAACAAACAAACAAACAAAAACAAACAAACAAACAAAAAAACTCCTGACCTCAGGTGATCCACCCTCCTTGGCCTCCTAAGTGCTGGAATTACAGGTGTGAGCCACCGTGCTCGGCCATGAAGTGGCTTTCTTTGAAATCTCTGGATCAGTCTCCAAAGCACCATATCCATTTTAATATTTTAAAAATGTATTCTCTCCCTTCTTACCCACAAATCCGAGTACATGTAATCATGACCTCTTCAGAAAGAGGCATCCCATCTGCCCCATGGCTTTGAGCATGACCCCTTATGTGAGAAACCAAACCATATGTTTTAGCTTCTGTTGATTATTCACCCATCTGGAGTTTCCCTCTAACTGCAGTTCAATTTCATTAACAGGTAGGGAATCACAGCATGATAAAGACAACCTGACTTTGTCTTCATCTAAAACCTGATCCACATTATGAGTAAATAAGAAAAAAAAAAAAGTCCCCAGTATGGCCAGTCACCCACATACCTCGTAACTGAAATAGAAGTATCCAGTCTGGTGGGCAAATTGCCAAAAGCATTCCGTGCCTCCTGGAGGGATCATGATGGCAAAGTCATATCTGTCAGCTCCACGGAAGGGTGGCTGGTCCCCAGAGCCACTCAGTTCTGTCTTCTGGCTCCTGGCAACTGTCACCAGATTCAAAACCACCAGCCCAGCCCCAAAGAGCAAGGGGGACATGCTGCTTTCTGGAGCCTCCTTTGCAGGTGAACTGCTCGCAGCCTAGGAGAATCAAGTCGTTGAGACAACCACTGGGGTAATGATTAACTGCACAAGTCACATTTAGGCCCATTTCAGAGCCACACATAGATATTCATAATAGAACTGCCATGATACTCCCGTGTTTGGCTCACAGGAGGAAGTTTTGCTTTAACCTCATAAACTCAGTGGCTTACCAGACCTACTTCATGGGTGCTACATAGAATCTGCCACCTCAGAAGAGGTCTTTCCACCCTTCCTTAGGGTTGTCATTTTTTAGTTCTTGCTTCTTGGGGATATATCGGGTAAGTTTATAACTTTGTGAATACACTGACAAAAATTTGGCTAGGGAGCTTGTTCTCTTACGTCAAATTGCTCCTATAAACACTTATCTCTGCCCAATACTGCAGCTCAGAGCAAATCACAGCATGTGTGTGTGCAAATGGATGAACAGTGCCAAGATGATGCTCACACCCCTCCATTGATAGTCCTCGTCCTGACACCTTCCACGTAATAGTCACCTAAAGCTATCCAAACCCACTGAAAGACGGTATTATTAAAAACCTCAATCTTTTTCTTTTTTCCTAAGACAGAGTGTTACTCTGTTGCCCAGGCTAAAGTGCAGTGGTGCAACCTTGGTTCACTGCAACCTCCACTTCCCGGGTTCTCGAGTAGCTGAAACTACAGGCACCCACCACTATACCCAGCTAAATTTTGTATTTTTAGTAGAGACAGGGTTTTACCATGTGGGCCAGGCTGGTCTCAAACTCCTGACCTCAGGTGATCCACCCGCCTGGGCCTCCTAGAGTGCTGAGATTACAGGCGTGAGGCACCACGCCCAGCCTTAGATCTTTTTTTCCTCTGGGACGGAGTCTTGCTCTGTTGCCCAGGCTGGAGTGCAGTGGTGTGATCTCAGCTCACTGTAACCTCCGCCGCCCAGGTTCAAGCAATTCCCTGCCTCAGCCTCCTGAGTAACTGGGATTACAGGTACCCGCCACCATGCCTAGCTAATTTTTGAATTTTTAGCAGAGATAGGGTTTCACCATCTTGGCCAGGCTGGTCTTTAACTCCTGATCTCGTGATCTACCCTTGGCCTCCCAAAGTGCTGGGATTACAGGCGTGAGGCATCATGTCTGGCTGATCTTCCTTTTATTCATGTCTTCTTCAGCACCCATAGGGAGGAAACAGCTATCTAGAACCCACTTAAAGACAATTATATTATTCACATCCTCAATCTTTATTCTTTTGTTCATGATTTCAACATTCACCCACTTCATAGCAGGCAGTGAGCTAACATTTACCTGCATCTTATTCTCATAATAGCTCTGCAAGGGAGGTACTGTGAGCTCCAGTATTAGAGATGAGAACACAGACATTTAGAGATTCCAGTGGTGGCTCACAGTCCCACAAACACACTTGGCAGAACTGGGTCCCCGGTGGGAGCTCATGCTCTTAACCACCAGGACAGTGTTTTTCATTCTTGAGCTGTCAGTCTCTGAGTTCTGACACTGCCTAAACATTTATTAGACATAATCTTTTTTTTTTTTTGCTTCCTTGAGACAGTATCACTCGGTCTTCCAGGCTGGAGTGCAGTGGCACAAACATAGCTCATTGCAGCCTTACCCTCTTGGGCTCAAACGATCCTCCTACCTCAGCCTCCCGAATAGCTGGGTCCACAGGAGTGTACCACCACACCTGCCTGATTTCTGTATTGTTTGTAGAGATGGGGTTTCACCATGTTGCCCAGGTTGGTCTCAAACTCCTGGGCTCAAGTGATCCCCATGCTTTGGCCTCCCGAAGTGCTAGGATTACTGCGCCTGGTCTTAGTCATAATCTTAAAAAACAGAAACAAAAAAACAGTATTAACACCTTCTAGCAATTATTTGCATTGACTCAGTGTCACAAGCTAATAAAGCAGAAAACAGACTCTGTAAGTGTGGTTCAGTTCTAGCAAAGGTCAAATGATATCCCAGCACTCTGGGAGCACAGTGGCTTGTGGCAGTCTCGCTCAAGTGACAGGTGTAAGAGGCTGGAAACTTCTCTCGACACATGTGACACAGGCATCCCCCACCCGAGTCGCACCAACATCGCAGTCCCAGCACTACTCATGTCATAAGCAGTGACATGGATTCAGCAAAACAATCATCAGTTCATGGTAAGCTTTATAGTTCTACAGAAGTTGTAAGCAGTTTTATCTCTGTACACATTTCAATAACAATAATAAAAACAACACTGAATTATGTGAAAAAATATTAACGAACATAGGCATTCTCAAGTTGGAGAAACACTGATTAGGATATTTTGCTTCCCTAAATGCATCAGTTTCACTCTTCTTCCTGGAAAGTGCCATCGAGTTAAAGGAGAGTTGAGAGGACAAAAGCTTCTGGATTCTAATCCGGTTCAGAGGGAGACCAAACCAACTGCAAGCAGAAGGTGGCTGGCTCGAGAGGAGCTCAAATTCTCAACTTCTCCCTGTGGTTTCATTTGGGGTTGGTTGATAGAAGAAAAATAGGTACTAAACCCCTAAACACAGTTAATAGGTAATGAAGCTGTACGAAGTTTCCAACTTGTAACTAATGGATGAATTTTTTTTAAAATTTTGAGATGGAGTCACTCAGTCTGGAGTGCAATGAGGTGATCTCAGCTCACTCCAACCTCCACCTCCCGGATTCAATCAATTCTGCCTCAGCGTCCCGAGTAGCTGGGATTACAGGTGTCTGCCACCACACCCAGCTAATTTTTTGTATTTTTTCTAGAGATGGGGTTTCATCATGTTTGCCAGCTGGTCTTGAAATCCTGACCTCAGGTGATCCTATCCGCCTCAGCCTCCCAAAGTGCTGGGATTATAGGTGTGAGCCACCGCATCTGGCCAGTTTTGTTTTGTTTTCAGATGGAGTCTCGCTCTGTTGCCAAGGCTAGAGTGCAGTGGTGCGATCTTGGCTCATTGCAACCTCCACCTCCAGAGTTCAAGTGCTTCTCCTGCCTCAGCCTCCTGAATAGCTGGGATTACAGGTGCCCGCCACCACGTCTGGCTAATTTTTGTATTTTTAGTACAGACAGCATTTCACTATGTTGGCCAGCCTAGTCTCGAACTCCTGACCTCAAGTGATCCACCCGTCTCGGCCTCCCAAAGTGCTGGGATTACAGGCATTAGCCATTATGAGGAATTTTAAAACTTTAGCATTTTTTTAATCCTTGCCTTTTAGTCACTCAGAAGTGAGAAACGGGGAATTCTTTTGTTCCCAGAAAAGAGATATGACGAAACAGACAGGTTAAGAAGAAATTTCCACATCCTCCGTCTGACATAGCTTCCAAGAACTAAAACATTCAATACAGTCTGACATCAGCTTCTTATTATTTTTTTTTTTTTTGAGACGGAGTTTCGCTCTTGCTACCCAGGCTGGAGTGCAATGGCGTGATCTCGGCTCACCGCAACCTCCGCCTCCTGGGTTCAGGCAATTCTCCTGCCTCAGCCTCCTGAGTAGCTGGGATTACAGGCACGTGCCACCATGCCCAGCTCATTTTTTGTATTTTTAGTCGAGACGGGGTTTCACCGTGTTGACCAGGATGGTCTCGATCTCCTGACCTCGTGATCCACCCGCCTCAGCCTCCCAAAGTGCTGGGATTACAGGCTTGAGCCACCGCGCCCGGCTGACATCAGCTTCTTAATCAAGATAGTTCAGCAAAGTTTGTTCAACATTTTGCTACCTCCCTCTGTGAATACATGCTGTGCTGCAATTAAACAGCTACTTACAGTTGAGAGAAGCAAGACTTTAATGAAGAATGCTACAAGTATGGACAATAATTAGTTCTCCTCTTATAAAAAAAGATTACAGAAAACACTTTACTGAAATTTTTTGCTAAAAAGACAGTCTTAAAGGATGTCTGGGAGAGACAGCAAGCACGACACAGTACAAAAGGAGAAGGGAATGTTGAATTCCAGTGCAAGACACAAACACAGCACAATTAGGGAATCAAGAGGAAGCAATCATTTCACAAGTAATGAAATTAGGCATTTATATTCAATCAGGATTTTTTTTTTTTAAGCTTTAAAAGTCCAGCATAAGGAAGGGAATTGGGAAAAGAAGCAGGGGAGAGGGTGTGTGGGAACTAAGCTTATCTACAATCACCATTTTACCAAAAAACACACTGGTTCAACCACATGAGAAGTGGAGGATAAACCTACCTACATAGCCCAACAAATATTGAGAGCAAATGCCAAGACAGTCAGGTCTAGGGTTGATGTCACAACTGTCTAAAGAGTTTTTACAGGGAATCTTATCCCACAAGGACTGGTCTCTCATCAACCTGGGTTCATAACAGACTAAGTTCCTTTGCATTTGCAGCAGAAGGCCAGAACTTCAGGTGGAACAAGTTTACTCCAAATAATGTTCACACTGCTGGTTTTAACCAGTCATGGAGTCACAGGTGGCTCCTAATAGACTTCACCATTTCTAGGAGAAGGTTCTACAGATTACCAGGGATTTAAATTTAAGCAAACTACTAAGGAAGGGAAACACTAATGATATTCTGGCACTGCACAAGCTGTATGCCTGTCATCTCTGCCAAGGACATGGGTGGACTTGGCTCTGTTTCTTAGCTCCATGATCTCCAATAGTGATGAAGTGGAACTGGGACCTCCCCCACGTCGAAGGAGGTTACCCAAAATTCTCATCCCAGCCCAGCTTCTGAAATAAACAGCAGACTATCAGGGGCTATTATTAGGAACCATGCTCCTGTGAATTCTGTGGAAATGAAAGCCTGTTTCAGTTCATGCCAAGTCTTTTCATGGTCCGCCAGCGATCCTTAATCATCACAGCTGTTCGGTTAACAAATGGGTAATTTTTAGAAATGGCAGCCCAGTTTCCTTCCCCATATTTCTGCACTCCAGCCTTGACCCACTCGCTTTCTTCTACAGTCCACTTCTGCAAAAGAAAACCAAAAGATTTATCACAACCTTTCTTTTCCACTTCCTTACATTTTCCCCAATGTAGTGATAACGTAAACTCAAGAATCCCAGGAGAATAATCTGAACCTGAAAGCACGGCTTATTTTTTTTAAAACATGGAATTGACAGTTTATGAGCACTGTGGATCTGGACACAGAGAAATTCTCGATGTCCTGCCATTTGATCCTCAAGTAACCATCACTTCTGCATTTCAAACTGCAAACATATCTACGTCGTTCACGGTCCAGAACACGTGTCCTTTGTCCTCCTGTGCTTTTCTTCCAGAGGATAACTATTACTTTAACTTAGTTTGGATTATATGATTATCTAAAACTCTCAAAAAAAAAAAAAAGCTCAATAACAGGTGTCATACATGATTAGGTAAAAGAAAAAAAAAAAAGGTTTTTACTGGGTACATAGGGGTCTATGCCTAGGAGACAGAGGGGCTTATTGTACCTTGGCTCTACCCACATAACCAGTATCAGAAAAGAGAATTTTCAATTACCTGCTTTTTTGTTACATTGGTTGTACTGTCTTCATCTGGTGCTGCTGGAAAACATTAAAAGTAGACTCATTTCAGAGTTCACCTTTCTCTGCACAAACCACAAGAAAAAGACACAGAATGTCCCCAAAGGGAAAACTTTTTCAAATTTCACAAGCATTGAGAAGAGAAAGGATACCATTAAAGGATAATTTACTTTTCTTCTTTGTTTGCAAACACCAGTCACTTCAGCCCATGACCTGTACAATGCAAGTGCTTTACAAACAGGCATCTGTAAATGCTGGCTAGTGATGGGTTTTCAAGCTCTTCAGTAAAACCAATATCGTTTTCTTTTTTTGTTTGTTTTTGTTTTTTGAGACAGAGTCTTGCTCTGTTGCCCAGGCTGGAGTGCAATGGTGCAATCTTGGCTCACTGCAACCTCTGCCTCCTGGGTTCAAGCAGTTCTCTGCCTCAGCCTCCTGAGTAGCTGGGATTACAGGCACCCACCACCACCATGCCTGACTAATTTTTGTATTTTTTTAGTAGAGATGGGGTTTCACCATCTTGGCCAGGCTGGTCTTGAACTCCTGACCTTGTGATCCCACCTTAGCCTCGCAAGATTCTGGGATTACATGCATGAGCCACCTACCTGGTAGCGCCTGGCTACCAACGTCATTTTCTAAAATTACTGAGGAACTGCCACATTCAAAATCCTTATATATATGTATATCTAGCACTATATGCTAGAATTTTTATTTTTCATTTTTTAATCTTTTTTTTTTTTTTTTTTTTTTGAGACGGAGTTTTGCTCTTGTTACCCAGGCTGGAGTGCAATGGCACAATCTCGGCTCACCGCAACCTCCGCCTCCTGGGTTCAGGCAATTCTCCTGCCTCAGCCTCCTGAGTAGCTGGGATTATAGGCACGCACCACCATGCCCAGCTAATTTTTTTGTATTTTTAGTAGAGACGGGGTTTCACCATGTTGACCAGGATGGTCTCGATCTCTTGACCTCGTAATCCACCCGCCTCAGCCTCCCAAAGTGCTGGGATTACAGGCTTGAGCCACCGTGCCCGGCCTTTTAATCTTCTTACTATCATTCCCAATTTTTTTTTTTTTTTTTTTTTTGAGGCCAAATCTTGCTCTGTTGCCCAGGCTGCAGTGCAGTGGCACCATCTCAGCTCACTGCAGCCTCCACCTCACAGGTTCAAGTGATTCTTCTGCCTCTTCTCCCGAGTAGCTGGGACTACAGATGTCCACCACTATAACAGGCTAATTTTTGTATTTTTAGTAGAAATGAGGTTTCACTACATTGTCCAGGCTGGTCTCGAACTCCTGACCTTGTGATCTGCTTGTCTTGGTCTCCCGAAGGGCTGGGATTACAGGTGTGAGCCATTGCGCCTGGCCCAATTTTTTTTTTTACTTTTTGTAGTGATGGGGTTTTGCCATCTTGCCCAGGCTGGTCTCCAACCCCTGAGTTCAAACAATCCGCCTGCCTCAGCCTTCTAAAGTGCTGGGATTACAGGCGTCAGCCACCACACCCAACCTAGAATTTTCAAGTCCTTGTTCATTTTATAAAAATACAATTTGGGGCTAGGCGCAGTGGTTTACGCCTGTAATCCCAGCCCTTTGGGAGGCCAAGGCAGGCAGATCACTTGAGGTTAGCAGTTTGGGACCAGCCTGGCCTACATGGTGAAACCCCGTCTCCACTAAAAACACGACAATTAGCCAGGTGTGGTGGCACATGCCTGTCATCCCAGCTACTGGGGATGAGGCAGGAGAATCACTTCAACCTGAGAGGCAGAGGTTGCAGTGAGCCGAGATCACAACACTGCACTTCAGCCCGGGGGAAAGAAGTGAGATTCTGTCTCAAAATAAATAAATAAATAAAAGTATACTTTGGTTCAGTTCCCTTAACAGAAGAGTCGGATAATAATTATTGCTTTCCACTTCCATGAAAGGGGAATCTTGAGATCTGCTCAAGCTCCCCTTCTCATCCTATAAATAAGAGATCACACCTCAAAACACACACACCAAGTTTTTTTGTTTTTTTGTTTGTTTGTTTGTTTTGTTTTTTTGTTTTTTTTTGAGACAGAGCCTAGCTCTGTCACCCAGGCTGGGGTGCAGTAGCGCGATCTCAACTCACTGCAAATTCCACCTCCTGGGTTCAAGCGATTCTCTTGCCTCAGTCTCCCAAGTAGCTGGGATTACAGGTGCCTGCCACCATGCCCAGCTAATTTTTGTATTTTTAGTGGAGATGTGGTTTCACTGTGTTGGCCAGAATGGTCTGGAACTCCTGACCTCGAGATCCGCCCTCCTCGACCTCCCAAAGGGCTGGGATTACAGGCGTAAACCACCGCACCAGGCACCAAGATGATTTTTTTTTTTTTTTTTTTTTTTTTTGAGACGGAGTTTCGCTCTTGTTACCCAGGCTGGAGTGCAATGGCACGATCTCGGCTCACCGCAACCTCCGCCTCCTGGTCTCAGGCAATTCTCCTGCCTCAGCCTCCTAAGTAGCTGGGATTACAGGCACGCGCCACCATTCCCAGCTAGTTTTATTGTATTTTTAGTAGAGACGGGGTTTCACCATGTTGACCAGGATGGTCTCGATCTTTCGACCTCGTGATCCACCCGCCTCGGCCTCCCAAAGTGCTGGGATCACAGGCTTGAGCCACCGCGCCCGGCCATTCAAGATGATTTTTTAAAAGACCAGAGGGAGGCTAAGTGTGGTGGATGACACTTGTAATTCTAGCACTTTGGGAGGCACAGGCAGGTAGATCACTTGAGGCCAGGAGTTGAAGACCAGCCTGGCCAACATGATGAAACTCCGACTGTACTAAAAATAAAATTAGCCGGGCATAGTGGTGTGTGCCTGTAATCCCAGCTACTCAGGAGGCTGAGGCAGAAGAATCACTTGAACCTGGGAAGTGGAGGTTACAGGGAGCTGAGATCGAACCACTGCACTCTAGCCTAGGTGACAGAGTGAAACTTTGTCCCCCCCACTCAAAAAAAAGGCAACGTTACATAAACATGAAACCAGCTAGAATGTCTGCCTCAGAAGATGCTGCTATCCAAAGCAGCATCTCCTAAACAATGGAAGAAGATGCTCTGGAAAAGGGATACTTACAGGAACAGATTACTTTCATTTTTGTTTATTTTTATATATATTTTTTGAGGCCGGGCGCGGTGGCTCAAGCTGGTAATCCCAGCACTTTGGGAGGCCGAGGCGGGTGGATCACGAGGTCGAGAGATCAAGACCATCCTGGTCAACATGGTGAAACCCCGTCTCTACTAAAAATACAAAAAATTAGCTGGGCATGGTGGCACGTGCCTGTAATCCCAGCTACTCAGGAGGCTGAGGCAGGAGAATTGCCTGAACCCGGGAGGCGGAGGTTGCGGTGAGCCGAGATCGCGCCATTGCACTCCAGCCTGGGTAACAAGAACGAAACTCCATCTCAAAAAAAAAAAAAAAAAAAAAAAAAAAAAAAAAATATATATATATATATATATATATATATATATATATATATTTTTTTTTTTTTTTTTTGAGGTGAAGCTTCACTCCTCTCACCCAGGATAAAGTGCAATGACAAAATCTCAGCTCACTGCAACCTCCACCTCTCGAGTGCAAGTGATTTTCCTGCCTCAGCCTCCAAACTAGCTGGGATTACAGGTATGCACCACCACACCCGGCTAATTTATTTTTTTGAGACAGAGTTTTGCTCATTGTCCAGACTGGAGTGCAACATCACGATCTCGGCTCACTGACACCTCCACCCACTGGGTTAAAGCAATTCTCCTGCCTTAGCCTCCCAGTAGCTGGGATTACAGGCACCTGCCACCACGCCCAGCTAATTTTTTATATTTTTAGCAGAGATGGAGTTTCATCATGTTAGCCAGGCTTGTCTCAAACTCCAGACCTCAGGTGATCTGCTCACCTTGGCCTCCCAAAATGCTGGAATTACAGGCGTGAGCTACCATGCTTGGCCTAATTTTTGTATTTTTTTAGTAGAGACAGGGTTTCACCATGTTGTTCAGGCTGATCTCGAACTCCTGACCTCAGGTGATCCAAAGTGTTGGGATTACAGGCATGAGCCACCATGCCTTGCCAGGAACAGATCACTTTTAAATTATGAACTACTTTAAACTACAGTGAAAGCAGATTTCTAAACAAATCTGGACTTCATTAGAAGTTGTTGTTTTCTAGAACCTTTATATCCTGTTGTCTTTAAATATTTAATGTAATTTTTCTTGTTTTTCTGTTACTTCCCCCACTTTCCACATGATCTTATCTTGCCAACTACATTTCTGCCAATGAAGGTAATTTCCAAGGACAAAACCTCTGGGGCTGGCAATGGATTACTGTTGCTATGTTACAGAAGTCTTAAAACTCCTTAAATTCAAGTTTAGCACTTAGATATTTCCATTAGAATGCAAAATGTGGTGGGAGAGATTCTAACCCAAATGCTATGAAGTTATTAATTATGAAAGTTTCTTTCTTTTTGAGACAAGGTCTCACTTGGTTACTCAGTCTGGAGTGCAATGGTATGATCATGGCCCATTGCAGCCTCAACCTCTGGGGCTCAGTCTCCCAAACAGCTGGGACTACAGGTGTGTGACACCATGCCTGGCTACTTTTATTTATTTATTTATTTGTTTGTTTGTTTGTTTATTTACTTATTTATTTATTGTAGATAGAGATCTCATTATATTGCCCAGACTGGTCTCTAATTCTTAGGTTCAAGCAATCTTCCCACCTTAGCCTCTCAAAATGCTGGGTTTATATGGGTGAGCCACCATGCCTAGCCAAGAAAATTTCTTGTGATAGAAAAAAAAACTGGGCCAGGTACAGTGGTTTATGCCTGTAATCCCAGCACTTTGGGAGGCAGAAGCAGGCAGATCACTTGAGGTCAGGAGTTTGAGACCAGCCTGCCCAACATAGTGAAAACCCAAATACTAAAAATACAAAAATTAGCCAGGTGTGGTGGCACACACCTGTAATCCCGGCTACTCAGGAGGCTGAGGCAGAATCGCTTGAACCTGGAAGGCAGAGGTTGCAGTGAGCCGAGGTCATACCACTGCACTCTAGCCAGGGCAACAGAGCCAGACTCTGTCTCAAAAAAAAGAAAAGAAAAAAAATTTGGCAGGGCATGGTGTCTCACAAGCATAGTCCCAGCACTTTGGGAGGCTGAGGCGGACAGACTGCTTCAGCCCAGGAGTTCAAGACCAGACTGGCCAACATGGTGAAACCGTCTCTACTAAAAATACAAAAGAAAAAAAAATCAGCTGGGCATGGTGGCAAGGGCCTGTAATCCCAGCTACTCTGGAGGCTAAAGTGAGAGAACTCTTTTAGCCCAGGCTGTCAAGGCTGCAGTGAGCTGAGATCACACCACTGCATTCCAGCTGGATGACAGAGTGAGACCCTGTCTCAAAAAAACAAAAAACAAAAAATGATTTATATACAGAAACTGTTAAGAGATTTTTTTTTCCTTCAACAAGAAATGCAGGGAATGACCTCCTACTATCATGTCTAATTGAAGGATTTTAGGAAGAACATCAACTATAATGAAATATTATAGGCGTTATTAAAACAAAACCAAAGACTTTTTTTAAACATAAGGTGTTAGTCAAATAAAAATTCATATGCATTCCTCACCAGTTAGGTCTTGTCCTATGACTGTCAGACCCTTAAAAAAATGTGCATTTCTATTTTTACAATGTTTATTCCTGCTTATAAAAGTAGTATGTTATAGAAAAACTGGAACACATAGATGTGTAAAGAAGAAAATAAAAATTAGTCATAATTCATCTAAGTATTACACATCCCTGCAATAGTTCCTTTTAGTTTTTTTTTCTTTGTGTATACATTTGATGGATGAATGTGCTTATAAGGGTTATGAGATTGGAATATTACCTTTTTTTTTTTTTTTGAGACGGAGTTTCGCTCTTGTTACCCAGGCTGGAGTGCAATGGCGCGATCTCGGCTCACCGCAACCTCCGCCTCCTGGGTTCAGGCAATTCTCCTGCCTCAGCCTCCTGAGTAGCTGGAATTACAGGCACGCACCACCATGCCCAGCTATTTTTTTTGTATTTTTAGTAGAGACGGGGTTTCACCATGTTGACCAAGATGGTCTCGATCTCTTGACCTCGTGATCCACCCGCCTCGGCCTCCCAAAGTGCTGGGATTACAGGCGTGAGCCACTGCGCCCGGCCCCCCCTTTTTTTTTTTTTTTTTTGAGACGGAGTTTCGTTCTTGTTACCCAGGCTGGAGTGCAATGGCACGATCTCGGCTCACCGCAACCTCCGCCTCCTGGGCTCAGGCAATTCTCCTGCCTCAGCCTCCTGAGTAGCTGGGATTACAGGCACGCGCCACCATGCCCAGCTAAGTTTTTTTTTTTTTTTTTTTTTTTGAGACGGAGTTTCGCTCTTGTTGCCCAGGCTGGAGTGCAATGGCGCGATCTCAGCTCACCACAACCTCCGCCTCCTGGGTTCAGGCAATTCTCCTGCCTCAGCCTCCTGAGTAGGTGGGATTACAGGCACGCGCCACCATGCCCAGCTAATTTTTAGTATTTTTAGTAGAGACGGGGGTTTCACCATGTTGACCAGGATGGTCTCGATCTCTTGACCTCGTGATCCACCCGCCTCGGCCTCCCAAAGTGCTGGGATTACAGGCTTGAGCCACCGCGCCCGGCAAGTTTTGTATTTTTAGTAGAGACGGGGTTTCACCATGTTGACCAGGATAGTCTCGATCTCTCGACCTCGTGATTCACCCGCCTCGGCCTCCCAAAGTGCTGGGATTACAGGCTTGAGCCACTGCGCACGGCCACCTTTTTTTTTTTTAACTTAAGCTTTACTGTTGGAATTTCAGAAGTTATTAGATGGTAATTATTCTTTTATACAAATTTTTGTGCAATTAACAATTATTTTCATAGCACACATTTCTGAAATGGAATTAAAATGTCAAAGAATATAAATGTTTTAAAATATTTGATACATATTACCTAATTATCTTCCAGAAATTGTTTTCTAGTTTACACTTTCCATAGTGACTATGTCCTTTATAAAGTGAATCTTACCAGTAGAGACTGTTTAATTGCTGACAAAATTGTGTGAAATAATTATAGTAAATATTATATCTCAGCTTTTGTTTTTATGTATTATATTTTCTTCGAATTTTAGAGAGGGTAAACTTTTTTCTGAAATCTCATATGTAATAATTTAAATTTTCCTTGTCTAGTCATAATATTTGCTCAGTGCTCTACTAGATGCAACATTTTATTTGAAGGAGTTTTTTTAATAATTAAAGATTTTAACCCTTTGGGAAAAAAAAAATAAGGTGTTAGTTACTCTGACAGTCTCCATTATTTAATGGGAGAGGACATCAGACTGATTCCTTGGCAAGGACACCGTGACTCACACCTGTAATCCCAGCATTCTGGGAAGTCGAGGTGGGAGGATCACTTGAGCCCAAGAGCAACAAAGTGAGACCCCATCTCTATAGAAAGTGAAAAAAAAAACAAACAGCCAGGTGTGGTGGCACACAGCCGTAGTCCCAGCTAATCGGGAGGCTGAGGCAGCAGGATCACTTGAGCTCAGGAGGTTGAAGCTGCAGTGAGCTGTGTTCACACCACTGCACTCTAACCTGGGTGACAGAGCAAGACCCTGTCTGAAAAAGAAAAACAAACAAACAAACAAACAAACAAACAGATTCTTCATGAGTCAAAATGAGGTCGAGAACTTATTGAACTTTTTTGAGTTTGGAGACACGCAGCTTCTGGAATATTAACATGACAGTAACATGCATCTGTACTTCAGCAAGCATCAAGAAGCAGCCAAGGAGAATCTCCTGCTTACCCTGAACTGGAAACAGTTCATCTTCTTCCACCCAAGTCTCTTTTTCTTCAACCCCATTAGAGTTGTTCCACTTGCCTTTGGGCATTCTGAGGGGACATCAAGGAGAGCACAAGGTATAAAACAGATTCATCCCAGATCATCCCAGCTTCTGCCCTTGGCTCACTCTTAGGTATAATATTCCTCCCTGTCCTGCTGTGACCACATTCAAGGTTCACCTACATGCACCTCCCAAAGCCACTATCTTTTCTCCTGGCTGGCCAGGCATCTCCACGTAACACCCTCCAGGGTTCAGGACACCCTTCAAATTCAGTACTGCGTACATCAAGTACATCACCACCACCCCTAAAGAATCTGTTCATTTTCCTGTTTTTTTTGTTTGTTTGTTTGGTTTTGACTCTATTTAAAAGTCTCAGTATTCTGATTTACAATCTGCAAACTCCTCCCTCTCTTCCTTGGACATGCTTTCTTCCTATGTCGGGACTGATTTTTCCCTTTCCATTCTCCCTTGTTCAAGCTCACAGTGCTTTTCACCAGTATCCCACTAGCCTCTTAACAGGAGTCTCTGCTACTAGCCTTCTCCCCCTCCAAAGCCAAAGATTATTTTAGGACAATCATCTTAAAATTACCACCTGCCTCCTCTATTCCCTAACGGCTCTCTAACAATGGAGTCTAAATGCCTACATGGAGGACTCCAGACCATCCAGTCTGGCCCTAGTTTCTTTTTTTTTTTTTTTTTGAGACGGAGTTTCGCTCTTGTTACCCAGGCTGGAGTGCAATGGCGCGATCTCGGCTCACCGCAACCTCCGCCTCCTGGGTTCAAGCGATTCTCCTGCCTCAGCCTCCTGAGTAGCTGGGATTACAGGCACGTGCCACCATGCCCAGCTAATTTTTTGTATCTTTAGTAGAGACGGGGTTTCACCATGTTGACCAGGATGGTCTCGATCTCTTGACCTCGTGATCCACCCGCCTCGGCCTCCCAAAGTGCTGGGATTACAGGCTTGAGCCACCGCGCCCGGCTCTGGCCCTAGTTTCTTAACAACCGCCCCCAATGCCCATACCTGTGCAAACAGCACAGCCACATTGTTCGCTCTTTTTCCCTCCCATAAGCTCTACACTTTCCTGCCTCTCCATAGCCTGTTCCCTCTGCTTGGGAGTCCCTTCCCTGCCAAGTGACATCCCATCCATCTTTCAAGGCCATGGTTCTCAATGAAGCCTCCTCTAACTACTGACCCTAACACACACAGAAAGCCCTGCTCCTCCAGCCTGCAGTGCTGTTTCCACTGTACCAACTAACACTTTATAGTGTGCCCTAACCAGGAGAGCCTCAAAGGCAGGGGCCACATCTTCTTTGTCCACCCCAAACACACAGCACGCTTAGCACAGTAACACAGACCCCAACACGAGCTGCAGACATATTAGCTGCACTAACATTGGGATTGTCAGCGAGTCACAGGGAATTATACCATCAAAGATCAGAGTAAAAAGCAAACAGGAATCCTAATGAAACGTTAAGTGCTTGGGTGTGGCTTAAAAAAAGTACAAAAGCTGAAAATAACCCCAAACTCAAATTAGTCAACAAAAATAACAGTCCATTTCTTCTAAATTTTGCATTTACCTGATTAATAACTGCCCTGGGAACAGAGCAAAGCACGAATCTGACCTGAGAATTATAACATCTTTTACAAACATGGAAAGTGTTTGAATTCAGAGTCTTGAGGAATTTATATAAATCAAAATGACCCGCAAAAGCTGACCAAGAGTAGTGACAAATTTCTGTATCCTTTGCCTGCCATGAAGAAACTTATTTTTAATGCTGTTTAAGTATTTTGCAAATGAATAAAAGCAAGTTGATGAATTACAGAGGCTTGAAAAAATTCCTTGAGTCCCCTAAGTTTTCTATGAAATTACTTAACGAAGTGGCCAAGACAAATGGCAGACCTAACTTTCTCTTTTGAAATTGGATCTTATCCCCAAATGTTACTTGAGAATAATTTGCTTGGGACAAAGTGAAAAAATTTTACAGGAGGCTTTTCTTTCTCAGGATATTCTTGTGTTAATGACTATTAATAAATAAAAGTCAGATGGGTTACAGTTTCTTTTCTATCTGCTTATCCCAGTGCTGGAATAAAACTGACTGGAACCTCAGTCACCTGCTGGTCTCATGTTCCCTGAGTAGCTGTCCTCTCTCCCTGCAGTCTTCAACAGGTCACCTTCTTCCCGTCCTCTGTTGAACTCTAAGCACTATGACCTGTACAAATACATGCTTTGGTAGCAATTTTATAAGACCTATGACGTCTTTTAGATGATGTTGAGTTCACTGCCTCGCCTGACTTCCCAGGTGGACGGGGCTGAGATCTGGCTGCCCCTCCTAACTGTCACGGGCTGAGTGGTCCTGGGCAAGTCAGGCCACTTCCTGGTTCTTATGCTCCTGACTGGCAAAGTTTGAACGGGAAAAGCAATGGTCTAGCAAGGACTGGCAAGCTACAGTCTGTGGCAGCTGGTTTGTGTAGCATGAAGCTCGGGCTGAGAATCGCTACCCATTTTTTTTTTTTTTTTTTTTTTTTTTTAGATGGAGTTTCACTCGTTACCCAGGCTGGAGTGCAATGGCACGATCTCGGCTCACCACAACCTCTGCCTCCTGAGTTCAAGCAATTCTTCTACCTCAGCCTCCCAAGTAGCCAGGACTACAGGCGCGTGCCACCATGCCCAGCTCATTTTTTTATTTTTAGTAGAGACCGGGTTTCACCATGTTGACCAGGATGGTCTCGCTCTCTTGACCTCGTGATCCACCCGCATTGGCCTCTCAAAGTGCTGGAATTATAGGCGTGAGCCACCGCGCCCGGCAAGGCTACCCATTTTTTATGGGTTGTAACAAAAAACAAGAAAAGACGGTTGGGAGCAGTGGCTCATGTCTGTAATACTAGCAGTTTGAGAGGCCCAGGCAGGTGGATTGATTAAGTCCAAGAGTTCAAGACCAGCCTAGTTAACATGGTCAAACCCCATCTGTACAAAATATACAAAAATTAGCTGGATGTAGTGGCACACACCTGTGGTCCCAATTACTGGGGTGGGAGCGGGGTGGCTGAGGCAGGAGAATTACTTGAACCTGGGAGGCAGAGGTTGCAGGAAGCTGGGATCTGGCCACTGTACTCCAGCCTAAGTGACAGAGCGAGACCCTGTCTCAAGGAAAAAAAAAAAAAAGAGGCCAGGCGCGGTGGCTCAAGCCTGTAATCCCAGCACTTTGGGAGGCTGAGGTGGGCAGATCACAAGGTCAAGAAATCGAGACCATCCTGGCCAACATGGTGAAACCCCATCTCTACTAAAAATACAAAAATTAGCTGGGCATGGTGGCCTGTGCCTGTAGTCCCAGCTACTTGGGAGGCTTAGGCAGGAGAATTGCTTGAATCCAGGAGGTGGAGGCAGGAGAACTGCATGAACCCGGGAGGCAGAGGTTGCAGTAAGCTGAGATTATGCCACTGCACTCCAGCCTAGCGCCTGGCGACAGAGTGAAACTCCGTTTCAAAAAAAAAAAAAAAAAAAAAGAAAAAGAAAAAACAAGAAAAGAATATGCAACAGACAACTCATGTGGCCGACAACGCCTATAATGTTAGCCTCTGCTGGCTTTTTACAGATATTTTGGGTGTCACTCCTTAAAATGCAAGAACAAATAATCCTTTTTTGGTGAATAAATACCTAGTAAGCATGTGCTATGTGCAAGGTGCTGTGGGAGATATAAGATCGGGGGATGGGGGCCCTGTTCTCCAGGTGACACCCCCAACCCTGCCTTCCCTCCTGATCCCACTGCCCGTCACTCCTCCTTGGCAGCAGTCTCCAGCCTCCCTCCTTCTCTCTGTTCCTTCAGTGGCGTCTCATCAGGCCTTCCAATTTGCTGTATTAGAATTATCTGGGCAGAGATAGAAAAGCAGATTAAAGAGCTGTCTGCCTTTTCCAGTTCAGTAGCCAGAAGCCTGGGAATATGTACTTTCTGAACATTCCACAGGTCACTGAGTCATGAAGCCCGGCTTCAGAGCCTCTGCCTGACACACTAGTCAGAAATCCCAGGCCTGGCCCATCTAGTATGCAGACTCTCCTCCCTTCACTCTTTCCTGTACACCATATTCTCCTACCACAGACTCCATAGCACTCTGAGGGACACAGCATGTTTTCTCATGCCTGTATGTAAGGAGTTGTCACTGCCTAGAGTCCTCCACCCCGTAACACACTTGACGACCTTCTGCTCATCCTTCCCAGGTCAGCTCAATGTTTGTTGTTTTACAAGATCTAAGCCACCTAAAATCTCGCAGAGTAGGCTGAGCTTTTCTTCCTGTAAGCACCCAGGGCACCTCACACATATATCTTTAAAGCAGGGACACTGACCCTTTTTTTCTGTAAAGGGCCAGATATTTTCACTTTGCAAGCTTCACTGTCTCTGTTGCGACTACTCAAGAAACCACTACTCAATAGAAAGCAGCCCTAGATAACACATCGATGATGGGTGTGACTGTGTTCCAATAAAACTTTATTTACAAAAACAGGCAGATTTGGCCTCAGGGCCATAGCTTGCCAAGCCCTACTGCTTCAGAGGACTCATTAGACTTCATATCTTTCACATATAAGAAAGAGTGTATGTCTGAAACCTTCAAGAATCCTCCTGAGGCAGGAGAATTACTTGAACCTGGGAGGCAGAGGTTGCAGGAAGCTGGGATCTGGCTTTACAAAATTTACAAAATTACTGTAACCCTGCCCTCTCCCGTTTCCTTATCTGTTCCCGGGAGCAATCCCTACACTACACAAGATTGCTGTGAGGAGCTCATGCGATCCCCTATCAAATGAAAATAACGTGCATGGATTTGGATCTGCTGCCCAGCAGCTATGCCCATTTGCCAGCCGGGACTCACTTCCAAATGCAAGTAGTGGTGACATAGTGCAAATCTGTGCCTGAGGATAAATCGCTTATCAGATGCCATAGCCCTTTGGGGCACTGAGTACAATGCATGCCAGAGCACACATCCCCAAATAATATAACATAGAGCAGTGGCAGAGGTGGCCTTGGGAGATCCATGAGGTAGATCACTTAAAGCAGGGAAATGCTGACCAGGGAAGTCTATGGAGGAGGGAGAATTTTTTTTTTTTTTTTTTTTTTTGAGACAGAGTCACACTTCGCTGCCCAGGCTAGAGTGCAGTGGCTCAATCTTGGCTCACTGTGCAGTCTCCACCTCCTGGGTTCCAGCAATCCTCCTGCCTCAGCCTCTCCAGTAGCTGGGACTATAGGCCTGGCTAATTTTTGTATTTTTAGTAGAGATGGGGCTTCACCATGTTGGCCAGGCTGGTCTTGAACTCCTGACCTCAAATGATCCACCTGCCTTGGCCTCCCAAAGTGCTTGGATTACTTACAGGTGTGAGCCACGACACCCAGCCTGAGGAGGGAGAATTTTAAGAGCGGCAACTTGTGTACATGATATGCAGGCCATGGGCTTTTCTGTCAAGACTGACTTGGATTAAAAATCCCAAAGCCCATCTAGCAGCATGACTTCAGGTGAGCTAAGAACCTTTCTGAGCCCTTCTCCTCTGTGTAATGGGGCTAATATATCACCACAAAGAGTGAGGACTGTAGAGACTCAGTAAGATGATATATGAAAGTGCTATGCCCCCAGAAAGCACTTCACTAACAACGGCTTTTCTTCCCTTTAAAGGACAGATGGGATTTGGACAAGCAATGATGGAGGGATGACGGTCCACTGTGGGAAATGAGAGGAAGCAAAAGTACAGTGAAAGAAACAAACAATGTGTTCCAGAGAGCAAGCAGGCCAGTGTGCCTGGAGGGAGGATCCACCACAGGACAGAGAGGGAAGCAAAACTCAAAGCCAGGATGGGAATCACGATGCGGAGCAAAATTAAAGTACTCTAGCCACTGCCCCTCAGTACCTAGCAGAATATGGGAGATTAGTAAATATTTACTGAACTCGCCAAGTCTCAAATGCTCAGAAATGTACAAAATTACACATATTCATCAGTCTCTTTTTAAGGGTCAAAGTATAATGTGGCCCAATGCAAACAAATTTCTTTTAACACACAAGACTAATGTTTAGAAGTCAAGACACTTAGAGGTTTGCTAAAAATGAAAGCAGCGATGAGGAGGAGGCTCTGAAACTTTTCCATCCCCACTCATGCCCTAGTGCAAGGCTTGGAAGCCCACATGTGGGGCTTCAGAACTGGCAGAGATGGCTATGTTGTCACTGCCCGCTCCTGCGTCACATTCTAGCAGTCTGAGCAAGCCTTGGTGGTGAGTAACTTAGCTGAAAGTTACTTCATTCATGGAAGTAATACCAGGCCCAACCAGGACCACCAACCAGCCCCAAAATTTCTACAAAGAAGGTCTTCATACTTGGGATTCTTCTCTCCAGGAAGGGGTTGGTTGAGAACGGTGGTCTTGGATGGCGGTGCTGGAACGGCCTCCTGGGAAGAGTTGAGGCCTGTGCTGGGCTCAGTGACCTGGCTGTCCTCCTCCAAGACCAATCTGCTTATTGTCATGCGCTTGTTCTTGGGCTGCAGTTCCGAGCCACCCTCACCCTCAGCAGGGGCTGAACTTCCATTTTCATCTTTTCTGGGTCTCTTGTTTTTGAGGGCTGGTGATGCTGAGGGAGCTTGAGTAGGAAGAACCAGATCCTTCTGGTCCAGTTTTGCAAAGGCTGCCTCAGAATCCTGTGTACCGGACAGAGTCTTGAAAGCTGCCTTCAGAGTCGCCATTCCAAAGGTGGTTGGAGTATTCCGTAGCTGCCTGAAAATAAAGCATAGGCACAAAGATCTTTCTCACCACTGTTGATGCTCATCCAAACAGACACAACTTTTTTGAAGTTTGAAACTTCAAATTAGATAGAGGACTTCTCCAGTTGAGGACTCTCCACTTAAAAAAAAGGAGAGAGGGAAGCTGGCTTGACGCAACCTTTATTTAGACCTTTATTCACAATGAGTGTAAGTAGAGGCTTTAAATGTAATATGTAAGTAGTATTATGAATTTAAAACTCCAAGTTAGAGAACCTTTATTTCACTTGTTTTATTTTTAGAGGTAGGGTCTGGCTCTGTCCTAGACTACAGATAGGACTGGGAGATAGGATATAGTGACGCGAACACAGCTCATTGTATCCTAGAACTCCTAGGCTCAAGCGATCTGCCCGCCTAGGCCTCCCAAAGTGCGGGATTACAGGCGTGATCCACCACACCTGGCCTACAACACACTTATAAACAGGATCTTGAGAATTCTCAGAGTAAAAGGCATGCCACAGAGTCTTGGAACAATGAGAAACTGTCTTTTAAAAATAAAATTCATCTATCATTTGAAGCAGTTAGCATGCTTTGGGGAAAAATTGTTAGGAGTGGGGCAAACTGGTGCCTGCAGACCAAATCCAGCTGGCAGGCTGTCTTGTTGTCCAACCCTCACGAAAAAAATTTTTTAAAAAGTGGATCAGCCAGGCGCAGTGGCTCAAGCCTGTTATCCCAGCACTTTGGGAGGCCGAGGCGGGTGGATCACGAGGTTGAGAGATCAAGACCATCCTGGTCAACATGGTGAAACCCCGTCTCTACTAAAAATACAAAAAATTAGCTGGGCATGGTGGCACGTGCCTGTAATCCCAGCTACTCAGGAGGCTGAGACGGGAGAATTGCTTGAACCCAGGAGGCGGAGGTTGCGATGAGCTGCGATCATGCCATTGCACTCCAGTCTGGGTAACAAGAGTGAAACTCCGCCTCAAAAAAAAAAAAAAAAAAAAAAAAAGTGGATCAACTGTCAACATCCAAAAATTGGGAAATCTCACAGAAAAACTTGGACACCTCATACAAAAATATGAGCACCTAAAGCCTGAACATCCTAGGACACTCACACAGAGCAACCACAAGAAGCTGAAAAGCACATCCCCTGGATCCCAGCCCCACACTCTCAGCCTGGGTCCACTTTGTTCCTTTAGGTTTCCTACCAGGCCCTCAAAGGGCATATAAACTTGTGACCCCTGCTTTAGGAACTGGTCTTGGGATTGGACTCACACATCTAAACACTGGTTCTTGAATGTATTAAGAGATTAGGTGTCCACAAAGATGTAGTGAATCAATATGGGCAAGGCAAGAAGAGAGAAATGGTGAAAGAGCCTTTGAGGAATGGCCAATCAGGAAGTTGTCAAGGACCCCAGGCGACCTGTCTCATCTTCCCAGGGTATGCTGTGTCCCACAGTGCCCTGTATGAGTAAACTTCTTTTTTTTTTTTTTTTTTTTGAGACGGAGTTTCGCTCTTGTTACCCAGGCTGGAGTGCAATGGCGCGATCTCGGCTCACCGCAACCTCCGCCTCCTGGGTTCAGGCAATTCTCCTGCCTCAGCCTCCTGAGTAGCTGGGATTACAGGCACGTGCCACCATGCCCAGCTAATTTTTTGTATTTTTAGTAGAGACGGGGTTTCACCATGTTGACCAGGATGGTCTCGATCTCTCGACCTTGTGATCCACCCGCCTCGGCCTCCCAAAGTGCCGGGATTACAGGCTTGAGCCACCGCGCCCGGCTATGAGTAAACTTCTAACACGTTAGCAGGTCAGATCGCTGAGAGGAACTGATCCTGCCCTAAGGAGGAGAGACTTCTTCCAGCGACCACTCGTGTTTTACCCAAGATCACGGGAGATCATCTTCTCACCTTGTGGGTTCTCTGGGTGGCTTTTCCACAGGCCCTGGTGCTGGCTGTTTATCTTCCTTTACTGTACTTGAGGCAGCAGACTCAGATTTCAAAGCCTTTTTGGCCATCTGGGAAAGGAAGGATGCCATCAGGAAGAAGAGGCCAGAGCATTGCATTAATTCTCTGCTTCTTTTACCATGAATATACTCAATATGCAAACAAGTACACTTACAAAACCAATCTAGGCATAAAACCAAGGGCATAAAATGGGAGATAACTTATAAGACTTACAAGTTTTTTCTTCAAACTTAGGATAACTAATAAATTTTTTTGAGAGGGAGTCTCACTGTGTCACCCAGGCTGGAGTGCAGTGGTGCAGTCTCAGCTTACTGCAACCTCTACCTCCTGGGTTCAAGTGATTCTCCCAACTCAGCCTCCCAAGAAGCTGAGATTACAGGTGCCCACCACCGTATCTGGTTAATTTTTGTATTTTAGTAGAGATGGGGTTTCACCATGTTGGCCAGGCTGGTCTCGAACTCCTGACCTCAAGTGATCTGCCCGCCTTGGCCTCCCAAAGTGCTGGGATTATAGGTGTGAGCCACTGTGCCCAGCAATAAATGTTTATACTAATATCTTTCAGTTTGTGTAAAGAATTTTTTATAACTCTGTTTCTGCAAATGTTTTGCCTTATTAACAACTGTTTGAGAATCCTTATCCATGTAACACAAAGAGCCCTGAGTAGGCTACTCTTGCTCTAACTCCAACTGTTCATGTTTTCCTCTGGCTTAAGTTTTAGACATTTCCAATCAGTCCAGTGTCATTCAGTTTCAGTTATGTTTATCTGTCACGTATTGTGTCCTAATAGCCAAGAGTTCTGTCCACACATACAGGCAGTGGCAGGACGTTTTCCAGTTACCTGGAATGGAAAGGAAAGGATCCTCGGCCAGGCTCAACTGTCTTGACACCTGCTCCCTGAATACCCTAAACCACTTGCTTTTAAACAATCTGAGATTTGCCAAATGACTGCTAAGATCATTGACACTAACCTAATATGGGCCTGGCAGATCTAGTGTTATGAGACAGAATATCTGAAACATTGTCAAAGTCCTCGTTTCTTTTACCCACGCTTAAGTGCAGTGGCACGACCACAGCTCATTGCAGCCTCAAGTGATCTTCCCACTTCAGTCTCCCAAGCAGCTGAGAATATAGGTGCACACCACCACACCTGGCTAATTTTTATATTTTTTGTAGAGATGGGGTTTTGCCATGTTGCCCAGTTTGGTCTTGTACTCCTGAGCTCAAGCAACCTGCCCGCCTCAGCCTCCCAAAGTGCTGGGATTACAGGTGTGGCCCACTGTACCGGGCCAAACTCTTGGTTTCAAAATAAAAACAAAACCACTCTCGATCAGTGTTCCTTCGTCACAGTCTACCATCTATGACAGCCTGGGTTCTAGTTCTTCCCTATGCTGTCCTGAGCCTCACTGTTTCCATTCTTTTATCTCTTTAATCCAATTAAAGAATGTTTTCATTTGGCTTCTTTCAACCTTATCACATTTTCACAGTGACACCTTTCTCCACACCATGCCTTCTTCGTGTTAGCAATTCCATTGTACCACATCTACCAAACCCCTCTTCCTCCAAACTTAGTTCACAAGTCATCTCCTTTGGGAACCACCATCGCTTGTAAGCCAGTGTTATACTTCACCCACAGCAGATTAACCACATGTAAAGGAGATAAAAATGGCAGACGAGGGGGACCAGGTGTGTTCCATTTGCCTCTACCAGTATTTCTACTTTTGTTTTTTGTTTTGCTTTGTTTTGTTTTTTGAGACGGAGTCTTGCTCTGTTGCCCAGGCAGGAGTGCAGTGGTGCAATCTTGGCTCACTGCAACCTCCACCTCCTGAGTTCAAGTGATTCTCCTGCCTCAGCCTCCCCAGTAGTTGGGATTATAGGTGCACGCCATTATGCCCAGTTAATTTATGTATTTTTTTTTTTTTTTTTTTGAGATGGAGTCTAGTTCTGTTCCCAGGCTGAAGTGCAGTGGCGCAATCCTGGCTCACTGCAACCTCTGCCTCCTGAGTTCAAGTGATTCTCCTGCCTCAGCCTCCCAAGTAGCTGGGGCTACAGGTGCCTGCCACCACACCCAGCTAACTTTTGTATTTTTAGTAGGGACGGGGTTTCACCATCTTGGCCAGGTTGGTCTTGATCTCCTGACCCCGTGATCCACCCGCCTTGGCCTCCCAAAGTGCTGGGATTACAGGCATAAGCCACCATGCACAGCCAATTTTTTGTATTTTTAGTAGAGATAGGGTTTCACCATGTTGTTCAGGCTGGTCTCAAACTCCTGACCTCAGGCAATCCACCTGCCTGGGCCTCCCAAAGTGCTGGGACTACAGGCATGAGCCACTGCGTCCAGCCTGCTTTTGTATTTTTAAGGCATTTAATTAAGAAAGCTGGTGCATATAATTAAATGTCTTTTTCACACATCAACCCTCTTGACTTCGGATATTCTGATTCTCTGCACATCCTCAAGGGCACACCATGGTTATGGGAGAAGGGCCAAGGCGCACCGTGAGGAGGTAGGGCTCAGTGTCGTCCAGATGGCTCTCCAGGAAGCGCAGCATCTTCTGCTGGAAGGTCTCATAGGAAAAGTTCTGGATAACAGGATGGGCCAAGTTCTTTTCTCGAATAATATTCAGGAGATCATTTCTCAGCTTCTACACAATGGACCGATATTTGCAACATGAGAAAGTAGAACTCCAGTAAAAATTCAATGATGATGAGGTGAGACAGACACTATGAGAACTTCTGCAATGCCGTCAATGCAAATCACTGGCATACATACAGGAAGGGAAGCCCAACACAAAGGACTGGTCAATAAATCAGGTTCAGCCACAGTGGGTTACTACGCAGCTATAAAAAACAGATAAAGATGTTCCTTATGTGCTAACATAGAATGACTCCAAGATATAATACTAAGTGAAAAAAGCAATTAAGTGTTCAAATTAGTATGTAGGCTATGCTATCATGTATGCGTAATGGAAGAACTGGGAAAATGTATATATGTGGATGTCTGTATATACACACACACACAATTTGCTTGCACATGCATAGAGGATCTCTGAAAGGATTAAAAATAAACAAATAAATAAATAGGGCCAGACGCAGTGGCTCACGCCTGTAATCCCAGCACTTTGGGAGGCCGAGGCAGGTGGATCACGAGGTCAAGAGATCGAGACCATCCTGGTCAACATGGTGAAACCCCGTCTCCACTAAAAATACAAAAAATTAGCTGGGCATGGTGGCGCGTGCCTGTAATCCCAGCTACTCAGGAGGCTGAGGTGAGCCGAGATCGCGCCATTGCACTACAGCCTGGGTAACAAGAGCGAAACTCCACTTCAAAAAAAATAAAAATAATAAATAAATAAATAAATAAAATAAAATAAAATAAAATAAAAAACTGATTGCCTCTGAAGGGAAGAAGATGGCTGAGGGTCAGAGGTAAGAGAATTTTTTACCAAACTCTTTTGTTATACCTTTTGAATTCTGTATTATGTAAATGTATTACCTTTTCAAATAATACACTTTAATTTTTTTTCTTTTTTTTGAGACGGGGTCTCACTCTCACCAGGCTGCAGTGCAGTGGCACAATCTTGGTTTCAAACGATTCTTCTGCCTCAGCCTCCGAGGTAGCTGGGACTACAGGCGTGCACCACCATGCCCAGCTAATTTGTCTATTTTTAGTAGTGACAGGGTTTCACCATGTTGGCCAGGATGGCCTTGATTTCCATTTTTTTTTTTTTTTTTTTTTTGAGACGGAGTTTCACTCTTGTTATCCAGGCTGGAGTGCAATGGCGCAATCTCGGCTCACCGCAACCTCCGTCTCCTGGGTTCAAGCAATTCTCCTGCCTCAGCCTCCTGAGTAGCTGGGACTACAGGCATGCAGCACCATGCCCAGCTAATTTTTGTATTTTTAGTAGAGACGGGGTTTCACCATGTTGACCAGGATGGTCTCGATCTCTTGACCTCGTGATCCACCCGCCTCGGCCTCCCAAAGTGCTGGGATTACAGGCTTGAGCCACCGCGCCTGGCGGTCTTGATTTCTTGACCTTGTGATCCGCCCGCCTCGGCCTCCCAAAGTTCTGGGACTAGAGGTGTGAGCCATCGCACCTGGCCAAAATTTAAACATAGAGTCCAGGCACAGTGGCTCACACCTGTAATCCAAGCACTTTGGGAGGCCGAAGCGGGCAGATCACTTGAGGTCAGGAGTTTGAGACCAGCCTGGCCAACACATTGAAACCCCTTTCTACTAAAAAATACAAACAAATTAGCCCAGCATGGTGGCACATGCCTGTAATTCCAGCTACTTAGGAAGCTTAGGCAGGAAAATTGCTTGAACCTGGGAGGCAGAGGTTGCAGTAAGCCCAGACTGTGCCACTCCACTCCAGTCTGGGCAACAGGGCAACACTCCATCTCAAAAACAAAAACAAAAACAAAAACAAATTCATATAGAAGAAGAAACGGTCGGGCATGATGGTTCATGCCTGTAATCCCAGCACTTTGGGAGGCCAATGTGGTAGAATCACTTGAGCCCAGGAGTTGCAGACCAGTCTGGGCAACATAAAAACACCCCGTCTCAAAAAAGAAAAAAAAAAAAAGACAACAACCTGTCTCCACAAAAACTAAAAAATTATCCAAGTGTGGTGGCATGTACCTGCGAACCCAGCTCCTAGGGAGGATGAGGCAGAAGAACTGCTTGAGCCCAGGTGGTCAAGGCTGCAGTGAACTATGACTGGCACTACTGCACCCAAGCCTGAGCAACAGAGCGAGACTTTGCCTCAAAAAAAAAAAAAAAAAAAGGAAGAAGAAAAAAATAAAAGCAGGGTACTGACAGAACTTTTGACACCAGGAAACAGGTGCTATGTCCTCACCAAAGAAGTTTCCTCACATCTGCAGGATCAACATTTAATGTAAATAAAGTTAGAAGCATTATAAAATTTGTCAGCTCAGTACCTGTTGTTGATCATTTAAATAAATGTTCTGTTATAAACCAGACAGAAATGTATAATTTATGTAATTTTTGTGAATAATTTATGTAAACTTCTCTAACGAAAACTAAACCTTGAAAAGACAGTTTTACAGTGTTATCTTCAATATAAAAGATAACTTGCTGCAGGTGTTACATGCTGAAAGGCAAATATTTAGGTAATATTCCTGACCAAGAACCTTTTCCCTGTTTCCCCACAAAAAGCAATGAGATGAATTTATGTCATAGGAGCAAAAATGTATCAAATTTACCTGAGTTGTGGGGTCCTTGGACATATGTTTTTTCAAAATTTTTGAAGCCTTTTCAAATTCTTTGTTTTTGATACAAATAATGACAGCCTAAAAAGGAAGGGGGAAAAAACCTTTGTTTACTTTTATAATAACAAATGTAATCAGAATATCAAATATCAAAATAACCTTCTCTCACATTATATCAAATTCCTGTACTTAAAAACTAACCATTATTGTTCAAGGGTCGTGAACCACTGTAATCTGTCTCTTTCTGCTTGTAAGGTAGTTGCTTTTCAACAATACAATGGTTTTTGTTATATGGCTGATAGAGAAAAATCTGATCCCCTGGATTACAGACCATTTAGCCAATTTCAACAGGGCCCCCTGAGGAAAGGCAGAATGAACAACAGGAGTCATTCTAGGTCCCTGTAATTTCAGGTCCCCAGAACAACTGATTCTGTTCTTTTTGGATGCAAAAGATTTAAAGCGGGGTAAGGGAATAAGGAAGGGAAGATATACTGTGGCAGGGGGAAAAAGGGACTTGCTGAACACAGAATTCTGCTAGTTCCATTCCGGAAAGGCCTGAGGCCAGTTCTGTAGGAGAATGAAAAGACAAGCCTTCCACTGCCATAAACCCCAGCTGGCAACTTCAATTAAAGCACCTAGGTAACTACGGACAAACCCAGGCGTTCACAAGCAGCAAATAAAAAGGGCAAAGTTCCAGGTAAGATAGGAAGGTCTCATCAGCTACAGAGAGGAAGAGTTTTCCATAAAGAAACCTCAAGAGACTATACAGAGGAAAAAGAACAGTGAACATTTACAAGGAAGTTATACATAAACATTTTTTAAAATTAAAAAAGTCAACAAAAAATTGGGAGTATTTCAAGTTATATGATAGAATAAAGTAGCTACCTCAAATCCTGTCTCAAAGAGACACACAGGTTCTTTAAAAAGAACACCACACAAAAAAGTCAGGCTGGCTGAGTGTGGTAGCTTGTAACTGTCCAACTGTATTTCCAGCACTTTGGGAAGCTGAGGTGGAAAGATCGCTTGAGCTCAGGAGTTTGAGACCAGCATGAGGAACATAAAGAGACCCTATCTCTCAAAACAAAAACAAAAACAAAAAACCTATTGAGACATGTTGGTGTATGCCTGTGGTCCCAGCTACTTGGGAGACTAAGGGAGGAGGATCACTTGGGTCTGGGAGGTCGGGGCTGCAGTGAGCACTGATTGTACCACTGCACTCCAGCTTGGGAGAAACAGCGATATCCTGTCTCAAAACAAACAAACAAAAGAAAAATTGGTTCAAAGATATTTTCTTTTCTTTTTCTGAGATGGAGTTTTGCTCTTGTTGCCTAGGCTGGAGTATAATGGCACGATCTTGGCTCACCACAACCTCTGCCTCTTGGGGTTCAACTGATTCTCCTGCCTCAGCCTCCTGAGTTGCTGGGATTACAGGCAATGCCACCATGCCTGGCTAATTTTTATTTTTTCATTTTTAGTAGAGATGGGTTTTTGCCATGTTGGACTGGCTGGTCTCAACTCCCAACCTCAGGTCAGCCCGCCTTGGCCTACCAAAGTGCTGGGATTACAGGTGTGAGCCACCGTGCCTGGCTGGTTCATAGGTATTTTCAGTCTTCACAGGGAAGAACGTATAGAGACACAGATCAAGGGGAAGAATAGCAAGGAAATCCATTAAGTACTCATCTCTGGTGCTTCTATTCTCAGCATGCTGAGCACAGCCACACAGGGAAAAAGGCAACTGACATCAAATGTACTTCAATATTGAATACACAGGTACAACCGTTAAGTTCCTGCTGCCCAGGGAGGGTAAAAAGTCTTCATTTTACTCAGATGACCATATCCATTTATACATCACTTTCAGCAGAAAAACATAAACTATACTTACTTTCTTGGATATAAAGTTTTTACTTTTTAAATCATACAGGTCTTACTATGTTTTAAAATTCTATTTAACTTGCATACAACAACCTTTTTTAGGGCAACTGGTTTGGAATTTTAACACATGTAAAACCCTGTATCATCCATTACTATGAGGATCCAAAAACCTGCCTTGGCTGTCCTCTGTAGTCATACCTTACCCCCACTCCTAACCCTGGCACTGATCCCAGTGGCTCATAACTGTAATACCAGTGCTTTGGGAGACTGAGGCAGGAGGATCACTTGAGGCTAGGAGTTTGAAACCAGCCTGGGCAACATAGTGAAAATTCATCCCTACAAAAAAGTAGCCAGGCATGGTGGCGTGTGCCTATAGTCCTAGCTACTCAGGAGGCAGAGGTGGGAGGATCACCTAAGCCTAGGAGTTTGAGGGCGGCAGTGAGCTATGATTATGCCACTACACTCCAGCATGGGCAATAAAACAAGATTCTCTCTCCTTTAAAAAAAAAAAAAAAAGAAAAAAAAAGCTGTAAGTATGTAGGACTTTTTTCTTAAAGGATACAGCCTCGACCCTGGCTCCTTTCACTCTATAATGCCTTTAAGGTCCATCCATGTTCGTGTACTATCAATAATTTACTTTTTCTCTTGTTGTTGGGCAGTATTCCATTGCAAGGATGTACTACAGTTTATACATTCATCCACTGAAGGACATTTTAGATGTCTGCAATGTATGGTTATCAAAAAGAGATGCTAAAACATTCATGTACAGGTTTTGATATGAATAGAGCTTCTCACTTCTCTAAGGTAAACACCCAAGAATAGGACTATAGGGTCTTATGGAAAATGTGTTTATAAGAAATGGCCAAACTACTTTCTGGAGTAGCTGTACCATTGTGCATTTCCATCAGCAATGTATGAGAGTTCCAGTTGCTCCACAGCCTCACTAGTGCTTTTTAAAAACTGTGCTGGGTGTGGTGGATCATGCCTGGAATAGCAACACTTCAGGAGGTCAAGGTAGGAGTATCACTTGAGCCCAGGAGTTCAAACCCAGCCTGGGCAACATAGTGAGACCCCATCTCTATTTTAAAAACAGACAAAAATTGTACATACTTAGGTACAACATGATGTTCTGAAATACGTAACCAATACTTTTTATAGTATTTTTTATTAATTTTGTTTTTGAGACAGGATCTGTATCACCCAGGTTGAACTCAAACTCCTGGCCTCAAGCAATTCCACCTCGGGTGCCCAAGTAGCAGAGATTACAGGCATGTGCCATCACACCCCCATTAGTATTTTTTAAAGTTTAGCCATTCTAATTGGTATTTGAAGCTACTGTGGTTTTAATTTCTATTTCCTTAATGAGTAAATGATATTCAACATCTTTTCATGTAATTAGTTTTGCCATCTACAGTCTTTATGATGAGACTTTTGCCCATTTAAAACTAGGGTTATATAAACTTGCTTCTTTTGAGAGCTCTTAATATATACATCTTTGTCGGATGTAATTTGTGAATATTTTCTCCCAATCTGTAGGTTGCTTTTCCGTTCCTGAGTGTTTTTCTCAGAGCAAAAGTTTAAAATTTTGATTAAGTCCTATTTATCTATTTTTTATTTATGGATCATGTTTTTAAATTCTTATCTAAGAAATTTTGCCTAATTCCAGAACATAAAGATTCCTTCAGCCAGATGCGGTGGCTCACGCCTGTAATCCCAGTGCTTTGGGAGTCCAAGGCAAGAGGATCACAAGGTCAGGAGTTTGAGACCATCCTGGCTAACACAGTGAAACCCCGTCTCTACCAAAAATACAAAAAATTAGCCAGGCATGGTGGCACACACCTGTAGTCCCAGCTACTCAGGAGGCTGAGGCAGGAGAACTGCTTGAACCCAGGAGGTGGAGACTGCAGTGTCCCAAGATTGTACCATTGCGCTCTAGCCTTGGTGACAGAGTGAGACTCTGTCTCAAAAAAAAAAAAAGAAGGCCAGGCACGGTGGCTCAAGCCTGTAATCCCAGCACTTTGGGAGGCCGAGGCGGGTGGATCACAAGGTCGAGAGATCGAGACCATCCTGGTCAACATGGTGAAACCCCGTCTCTACTAAAAATACAAAAAAATTAGCTGGGCATGATGGCACGTGCCTGTAATCCCAGCTACTCAGGAGGCTGAGGCAGGAGAATTGCCTGAACCCGGGTGGCGGAGGTTGTGGTGAGCCGAGATCGCGCCATTGCACTCCAGCCTGGGTAACAAGAGTGAAACTCCGTCTCAAAAAAAAAAAAAAGAAAAGAAAAAAATTCCTTCATGTTTCCTGTAAGTTTTGTGGTTTCACATTTTACATTTAGATAATTTTGAGTAATTTTTGTATAAAATGTGAGCTTATGGTCAAAGTTCATTTCTGCATACGGACATTCAATTGTTTCAACATCATTTGTTAAAGACCATCCTTTTTGCATTGAATAGCCTTCACATCTTTGTCAAAAATCAATTAGTCATATTTGTGTGGGTCTGTTTCTAGATGTTCTCTTCTGTTTCACTAATTTCTATAGTCGTAAATACTGTAACTTTTTCATAATTCTTAAAATTGGGTAGTATGAGTCCTCCAGCTTTTCCTTTCATATAACTTTTTCTGGTTAATTCCTTCACCTTTCCATATAAATTTTAGAATCATCCAGTCTGTATTTACAAAAAAATCCTGCTGATGCCATATGGGGTGGCTCGAATCTGTAATCCTAGCACTTTGGAAGGTTGAGGTGGGAGCATCACTTGACCCGAGTTCAAGACCAGCCTGCAGAACATAAACACATAGGGAGACCCCATCTTTACCCCAAAAAAGAAGAAAAAAAAATTAGCCAAGCAAGGTAGCACATGCCTGTGGTCCCAGCTACTCAAGAGGATAAAGTAGGAAGACCACCTGAGCCCAGGAGGTCAAGTACATGAACCGTGAACATGCCACTGCATTCCAGCCTAGGTGACAGAGTGAGACCCTGTTTCATTTAAATAAAAAAAAAAGAGAGAGAGAGAGAGAAAGAGAGAAAGACAGATAAAGAAACAAAATCCTACTAGGCCAGGTGAGGTGCCTCATGCCTGTAATCCCAGCACTTTGGAAGGCCAAGGCAGGCAGATCGCCTGAGTTCTAGAGTTTGAGACCAGCCTGGGCAACATGGTGAAACCCCATCTCTACTAAAAACACAGAAACATTTAGCCAGGTGTGAT